ATTACAAGTGAGTGACTACAAGACTCTTGCATTTGTCATTGGTTGATTTACGAGTGAGAATGAAACCTAACAGGCAGGTTATAAACAATAAGGTTGACAGCATGGAGACATTTACTCAGAAAAAGGAAAATAATGGCATGCCAAAGCCTGCTTACACCTCCAACACATCGTTTTTACGTGTAATCCCCGTGGTGCATTTATGTTGCAGATGCCCAAAGTTGTGTTTATAATAGATAATTCTACCTAGCTCTACAAAATAAGGTATGGAGTCCCGCAAGGGACATGGGAGAAAAAAAAATTAAGACAGACTTTTGCGAGATCTCGCAAAACAAACTCGGGATCTCGCAAAAGTTTTAGCTGCATTCTTCGGAGGCCGCCAGCTCAAAGCCGACCGGGAGGTCGAGGCAAGATGTGCCGGGAGAGCGGTGTTCCCCCCAGCTGTAGTAGGTCTTGACCTCCCGTCAGCTTCGAGATGGTGGGTGTCAGACATCTCCGAAAACATCGGAGCACTTTTGCAAATATGTTATGTCTTGTAAACCGAGCAGATATTTGACGTTTACACAGCTACATTAACGTCTCAAAATATCTTAAAAGTTTATTTTGTGGCCCAGAAAGAGTAATATTACAACTAAGTAGCTGCCGCCATTGTTGGAATTCAACTTTTGCGAGATCCCGAGTTTATTTTGCGAGATCTCGCAAAAGTTCATCGTAATTTTTTTCTCCCATGTCCCTCGCGGGGCTCCGTAATAAGGCGAACATAATCAGACTAACATTTTTACCTTTTCAATCTCAGCAGCTCAGCAGATTTCACCAAAAATAAACGTTTAACATTTAGATAAGTAAATGTAGCTGCTGTGCCTCTATTGTGTAGAGACTGAAAACGTGAAAAATAACAATAAGGTCTGACACTGTCAGAGTAAGATGTAAGAAAGGCAGGACAAGACAGGAAGATTTTGTAACTGCACTGTAGGTGATATTTGATAAACTGGACAGAAATTTTCCTTAAAGTCCTATTTATTTTTTTAATCAAATATTGGAACTGTATATTATATACTGCAGAGTTTTGTTTTTGTGAAACTTCCTGCAAAACAAGCTGTAGTATAATAATAATTGTGTAATAAAAAGGTTGGGGTGCACATGGTTAGTATTAGGCTGCATTAAGGGTAGCATTCATGTATTTAAGAGGATGATGCTGATAAAATTTACTTGCCAAATTTGACATTTTATACTAGCTTTATAACATGTAGGCATGAGACATCTGCTCATGTCATGTTGAATTCAGTTGGCCAAATCCACAAAGAGCAGCGTCACAGGTCAGCTGACCACAATTTGTACACATTTTAATATATAGTGGAGTTCACAATACATATTAATATGCAACTTATTTCGAAGGGATATTTTTCCCTCACATACACCTGCTATATTCTCCTTTAACCCCTACATGTAACCTTTTCATTTTCGGATTAAGAGTATTTATTCATGACCCTAAACTAAACACCAATAATACGAGGTCTAATTTCTTTTTAAATGACACTAAGATTTTCTGGATTTAGGTAAATCAGTTTAAATAATAAATATTATATCAAGATCATAGACTCACATTCAGAATAAGTCCTACATGATATATATTATTATACCTGATATCTTTTAGATTAAGAATAATCATAATAAATAATGACAATCTCTTGCCCATGTACTTTTTTCTAAAGGTCAGATACAATGAACTGCTTGTTTTACCAGAGCAAATGTTAATTGTGCCAACAAAACCTTTCCCAAAAAACATGTCAAAGTAGACAATGTTTGGTTTTCGTATGTTATAGCAGCACATGCACTGTTGTCTTTGCATGGTTTAATGATAACAGAAACTCTTAGTCTGACTCAAAGCAAATAGATCAGCTGGCTTTAACTCAGAAAATTTAGTCAAGCAGAAACGTCCACACGGAAGTACCAGAAACGCAGATCCTGGAAAGGCTGTTTGACATTGACTCCAAAGTGGAGAAACTAAATCCCACAGACTCCTATGGTGAAATGCCCACATTAACAATTAAAATGCACGTCTACAGCTTTTGAACAGTAACAACTATACGATGGGTGAATTCATTGATTTGGAAACTGTTCAAGCTTAAAGTTAGAGGCAAGGCTGCTTTGATTGCCAGGTGTAGCTGTAGCCAGTCTTGCGCACCAGGCCCCATCTCTACTAATTTCTTTCACTGAACTGGACCAGAGATGCTACAATGTGAAGATGTGGTACTGTTAGAAATCTGGGTTTAAATACTTGGGAGATTTGTGTAACAGCAAAGATGGTGAAAGGCCAAATTTAAAAAAAAATAAATAAAAAAATAAAATAAAATAATAATAATAATAATAATAATACTTTTAAAAGTTTCTTTTAGTGGTTTTCATTAGATTTGACCAGTGACAGTTTAAATTAAAGCCAAATAACTTCCAAATAAGTAATAAATATATGTGCCTAAAATTATACAGTGATGAGATAAAAAGAGATGGTTACATTTTCACATTGGTGATTTAAGAATTACATTTCTTTAAATCACAAAATCATTTAAAACTTGCATTATGCATTTAGCAAGGTTGCCTTTTGCTTTAGAGGTTAGGTTTTCTTTAAAGTACTGTAGTCAAAAACAGACACAGTAAAACATTTAAGTGCTAACACATCCCAACAGATTATCTGTTATTGATTTATTATTATTTAACATCGAGTATGAAACTCTACTGGGGGAACATTTAGGCATACATTTTACGGTATCTCGCACAGAGTTTTATCACATTACTGCTAAGTCTCTAATTTTAAACTTGTGCTGCAATCTGACACACTACCGTCTTAGTGACAGTTGAAAGCGCCAGACAGGTTTTAGAGGATGATAAAAGGTGTTGGAACTTAAATAGTAATATATCTTTGTGGATTAAGTGTGCAGTTGTCCTAGTGACCAAAACTGCTTCAGTGTAATCATTTGTCCTCCCTGAATAAACGCAGTGCGTGCTGCTTCTGAGAACTTAATCTTCCTTCCTTGTTCTTACTGCCAGCTCATATTTGTCCTTGGAGGAGCTCTCACCTCAGTATTTGTTTGACAACATTCAAATTACCTTGGCATTTTCAGTTTGCACTCCAGAACCCCAGATGAAGTACTGAGTAAACAGACTTTAGCAAATACAATTCATGCTTAGTGTGGTTGGATGAGAAACAGGTTACATGAGCATCCGAAGCAGCTAGAGCCTCCAAAAATCCCCAAAACATTTACTTAACTGAGTTCTCCATTTAAACACAGGTTTGTGTGTGTGTGTGTGTGTGTGTGTGTGTGTGTGTGTGTGTGTGTGTGTGTGTGTGTGTGTGTGTGTGAACACTATTTATTAACATATTTCAGCACTTAGTTGTGTGTTTATTTTAGCTTTTCATTTAGTTATTTATACTGCATTGTGTTTAGTAGCATACTGCATATACTGTGACTGAAATTAGTTATCATTACAAATAGCTGAATGACAATAAAGCTGAGTCTAAAAATTGGCTAACATCACTGTAGTTTCCACCCAGAGTACAAAGACATGTGACTGACTGGTGATGCTAAACTGACTGTAGTTGTGAGCGTGTGAGTGTGTAGTTGTCTATTTCTGTGTTTTAGACTGGTTATGGACTGGTGTACCCCTGGCTTTTACCCAGTTTTGGCTGGGAATGGTTTCCAGCCTTGTTGAACAAGCAGCAAAGAAAATGGACTGATGGAAGGAAAAAGAAATCTTATAGCATCTGACAGTTATTTGTGCCGTGTTCTTGTATACCCAGCAGAGGGTGTTCATTATGTACAAGTTGCTAAATGGACTGGCCTACTCTGCTGGCTCCTAATATATATGTGAAAAAAGAAAGCTGTAAAGTCTTTGCAATTGCTTCAGCTTATTCTAAAACCCCAAACAACCCTGAAGCTCCCAAACAGACACTAAACATAGGATGAACTATTCCGGACTTCAGTTTTTCTTAAGCATTCATCATCCTTATTTACACAATTTGCTTATGGATTATTAGGCTGCTGCCCCCGCGACCCGGCCCCGGACAAAGCGGATGAAAATGGATGGATGGATGGATTATTAAGGTATTCTGGTTGTTTTAGCAACCTATTCAAAAGTTATACTAATTTGCATTGCAGAGGTGTGTTGCTATATTTGATTGATTTACAAATTAAAGCACAAATCTTAAAGTGCTTCTTCACTTATTTTATGTTTACTACCTATTAAATCATTGTAACTAGTCTACAGTTTATTCACTCATCTGCATGTAGTGAAGCCGTTAAATATAATAAGCTGAAAATATTGTGTCTTTATTCAGATAAAAATTGTATATAAATCTAGAATAATTTCATAATAATAATTTCAAATTGATCTGATGTGATCAATAAAGGACTGAAGTGATAGGATGTTTGTATCCAAAAAGCATTCGTGTTTCCAACTACATAAGTGGACTGGCTGTGGTAAAATAGCAAAGTTAGCCATGTCTTTGGTATGTTGTCAAAGCAGAATTCAAAGTAATAGAAACTCTGGCTCTCACATAATTCTAGCGTCTTTTTTCATGCTGTATAATTGCTTTGAAATAAACATTATTGCTGAATTCTTTTCTGTTTCATTCTTATACTTACTAATGTTGTAACAGCTTGTTTCACCCCTACCACTTTTCAAATACTCCACGCGTTTAGTGATTTTGTATCTATATCTACAGTCCATAAGCACATCTCCACTCTTTCCTATTTTTATTTATTACTGCTTCACCAAGAACAGTCAAAATGCAGACTCTCCTGGTCTTTTTATTTCAAAATTTCACCCTGCCAACTTTATTGTATATTTAAAAAAACAGCTCGCTAAACTTTAATGTTTTTATGGAGAATAAGACAGTACATTTAGGGTTTGTGTGATGTAAATGTAAACACAAAATAAATGTTTAGATTTTATTTTACTAGAAAAAAAGAAGATGGAGGAGATGAGACATGAACTGAGTTGCAAGTTCTTTTTAATTTTGATCAGCAGATAAATACTCAAACTACAATACCAATTACTTTGTAAGATATATAATGATTTTTAAGAAAATATGGGAAGAAACATTTAAATGTCACATCTGTGAAGAGACGGACTGTTTCATCACAGCAGTGTGAAGCTTCTCTTCCTGCGAACATGATGTCGAGCTGTGGTGCAGTCCGTCTTGGTACACCCACACTGTTCCACATACATGTATGTGTAGGGGACCGTGTCTCCATTCAGGCAGACCAGGTCAACAGTGCGATTGCTGAAGTTTATCTCCTTACAGCATGAGCAGGAATGCTCCATAGCTGCTGCTGCTTCAGAGTACCTAAAGATAGCAGGGGACAGGATTATTAATATAGTCAAAGGGTAAAATAACACTTTTTGTAACTTTCCAGGGAACCATATAACATTAAGGTTATCCTTACATGGTGTAAGTGTTGCAGGATCCTTCACAATATGGCATATCTACCTCCTGGGAGGACTGACAACCGCTGAATGTAATATGGGTTTTCATGGACATTAACTTGCATCCCTTCTCCTTCTCCACACCTTTTACAAAAAAAGATGTTGAGTTAGTTTCTTTTATTTCTATTTAATGTAAATCCATCCATCCATACTGTTCCGCTTATCCAGATGTCATAGGCTGAAAGGCAGGTACATCCTGGACAGGTCGACACTCTGTCGACGCCATCATAGGGCTAACACCGACAAACAGCAATTCACAGTTAAATTCACACCTATGTGGAATTTAGAATCAACAGTTAACCTAACTCCACTAAGTGCATGTCTTTGGACTATTGGAGGAAGACACAGTACCCGGAGAGAACCCATGCAGACATTAGGGGAACATGCAAACTACACACAGAAAGACCCTGGCTAGCTGCTGGATTCAAAACAAGTCCCTTCCTGCTGTGAGGCAACAATGTTAACCACCACGCCACTGTGCTGCCTCTGATTAAAATATTATATATCAAAATGTTATACTCACAAATTTTGCAACAGCCATTTGCTGCAGTTTGAATTGTTTCCTAACAAGGAAAATATACAACATTAACACAATTTGTTTCATTTCATTTCAGACAGATACAGTCAATCAATCAAGATTATTTTTTAAAAGCATACTTACAGGTTGACAGTTGCTCTCTTGGAAGGGTGGGCAGACAGTCTGTGAATGACTTGCTGTTAAAGTCTCACCATTCTTAACACAGGTGTAATGTTCACACTTATTCTCCGATGGTGACCAGGTTTCTCCTTGCTAGAAAGCAGTGAAATAGATGTATACACAAATCCACACAAACTTAGTAGTATTTATTTAAACACACAAATAAGCACTTATTGGGGGTTGGCTTAGATGAATTAACGCATGAAGTTACAACCAGCTTACAGTCAAAAGGTGTTTGGTTCCATTAATGTTGACAACACAGTGTTTCTGTACACACTTCCCGCAGCATTCATCTGAATCACTTTCCACATATCCATATCCCTGTGAGACACCGAGAGCGACGTTAGCTTGTGAAGCCCAATCTAGCAAGTGACACACTAAAGCCACCAAAGGAAAACAAACTGGGATGTATGGTGTAAGTGAAGATGACGGCTTTATTGTCTCTTACCAGTTCACAGTGTTCTTTGCATTGTTGAAACACACAAATTATTTTTAATAGACCAGATTTGGGGTCAATCTGATTGGCACAGGTACAATCCTGACATGCAATCACAGGAACTGAAGAACCAGGCTGACAAATAAAGAGAAGGTCATACATAATTATTCCATCATTAAAGGCAAAAAGGTGAGAAATGACAAGTCATCTGCTTCTTATTTACCTGATATTCAGTTTCTCTGTGTACACAAACTCTTTTAGGTTCTAGGAAAGAGTTGGACAAAGACGAGGTGAATTGCATGAAAGTACACACACACACACACACACACACACACACACACACACACACACACACACACACACACACACACACACAGATAGATAGATAGATAGATAGATAGATAGATAGATAGATAGATAGATAGATAGATAGATAGATAGATAGATAGATAGATAGATAGATAGATAGATAGATAGATAGATTGATTCAAACTGTTTGAATGAGATTACCACATGTATGTTCTGCACAGCATTTTCCATCAGGGACACTGACAACTGGCTTATATCCAATTGGACAATTCATATTAGTGACTGGGCAGGTGTTAGGCTGACATTCTGCAGAGATGATGGCACAGTGAGATACTACCAAAATCAAATAACATTCTGGAAAATTTTAAAGTGCTTTGATACTATATGTCTTACGACAAACATAGGTAGAACAGCAGGGGTCTGATGGACTGGTCTGGTTGACAAGGACAAACCCAGGAGCAGAGCAGTCTGTAGTGGCTGACGGTGGAGGGCACACCTTAGGCTTGCAAGTCACAGTCTTCGTAGATTCTTCACAGATGCAGTCCTGGCATTTGTACTCAAATCTTTCATTGAACTGAAAGAATAAACCACAACTTATATTATTTTCTCCTGTAAGTAAACAATAAAGAATAGAATTTCTGAAAAAAAAAAAAGAGGAAGAAGATCACCTCACGAGGAATGCCCTCAGGATCAAGACATCCTGTTGGAAAATAAAAAAGTCACTAAAACTATATCATATACTTAGGTATGTAGTAGTAAACTGAAAATATTACAAAAAGTAATTACCACATTTTTCAACACATATTCCAGACTCCTGGTTGAAGAGTTTCATTCCATCAGGACAAAAGCATCCCTCAGTAGTGTAGTTCATAGTTGGTCCACTTGGACTGTAAAATAAGTTACGTTGGAACAGCAGTTAAATTCATTCAGTTAAGTTGATAAACAGTGTCACTTTTACTTATTGCCACTGTAACCATTTATATTTTGCCACATTTTGTTATTATCATAGTGCCTAGAAATGTTTTTGCATAGTTTTGCAGAAACTTACTCGTCTTGACAGGTTGGCTGTTCTGCAGGACCACAAGGCTTGTAAACTTTGCCTAATGGGCATTCACCAGCTGATGATGAAGAAAAGAACTTCATTGTTTTGTGCTTTGATTTTTATATACATGCTGGCAAAGTGTCACTTGTGATTCCAACCATTTCAAAACATTTACAAAATGATGAGGGGTTGCTTACTGCACAGTGTGGTGTGGTTCCTCCAGTAAATACAAACTCCAGCCTGAGCACAGGCTGCAGCATAAGTCTGTAAACTTGTGCACTCCACTGTTGGATTTGAAACGTGACAGCTATCAAAAACACAACCTCTGTAGAAATTTTCTGGAGAGACAAATGGATGGCACTCTGCAAAGAGACTGTTTTAACAAAAGACACAAAAATTAATGTATTTTGTTTTGAGTGCAAACTGTTAATAGTACAGGAATAAACTTTTGGGACAGATCAGATCATGCTTACCTAGTTTTAAGTAGGTCACACATGGAGTCTGGTTTGCATGGAGCTAAGGTAGGTGGTGGTTCAGGTGCACTGGTAGGTAGTGCGGGTGGTGTTGGGCAGTTGGGCTGGTAAAGGTCTTCAACAGGCCAATAGTCAGCCATCACTGCACAGCTTTCCACCAGCTTACCTCCAGGCAACATGCAGTCATCAGCCTGATTATTGTTGCATGTTCCTGACAATAGTAATTAAACAGTTAATATTGCAGTACAACCTCAAAGTAAGGGTTAAGAAATATGGCCATTTTAGTGAACATTCTCACCACAATGTCCCTGTGTGTTTTTGCCAAAGTACTGGAATGGAAGGGTTACACTGAAGCCAGTTATTCCAAATGTAACAACCACTTTTAGACGAGGAATCTCTAAAATCAGGTTAATACCTGAATTCATGATCTTAACACCTTGTTGAGAATAAGGTAGGTTCAAACTTTCTCCATTTTTCAGTGCCTACAAAAGAATAATTGCACCATATGTAAAAATATACTATGAAATAATCTATCTTGGTTATTTTGCAGAAAAATACAATAAAATATTGGCAATCATATATGCATAAAGTTACCTCCAACTGTGCAGCTCCAATAAGATTATGATTAATGAGTGTGATGACTTGTGATACATATGATACTGTTATCGATCGTGGACAAGAAACATCTTCAGTTGGATCACAAAAGACATTGTCAATATAAATCTCCAGGTTATGTATCGGTAAGATCTCTTTCATCAAAACATAAGTACAGTTTCCTTGATAACTGTAGTAAAGTCCATCAAATGTGATGTAATGTGGATCTCCCCACCCTTCACATACACCTTAAAAGAAAGAAAAAAAATTTAATGGAGGGGAAAAAACATGAATGGAACAAATGTTTTTTACTCACAAAATAACTTACAGTCGCAAGTATAATATTGACAGCAGTAGTACTCGTCATATACCAGAACTGGTTTCTTTCCATTCGTGCAAGTTATGTTTTGAAGAGGTGGACATTCATATGGAATAATTTCTATTATGTTGTTCTCTATGCATCTGGCCATGGTGCAGTTGCACAAATAGAAGGTCTCATTTTGCTTGAAGAAAATAGCACAAATAAAAATAGTAAAGGTACTTTAAGATGTTTTTTTGCCAAACACCTATGAGTTCATTAAGCTATAACCTATAAGTTAATTACTGGAAAAGTGAAAACAGTCAAAATCTCATTAAATACAAAGTTATTGAAATTTTTTTTTATGTGTAATGGGTCTTACTGAGACACCCCAATCAGGGCAGTCTGGTGGAGGAGTTGTAGTAGGAGGTGTGGCTGTAGATGTTGTAGTAGGAGGTGTAGCTGTGGTAGTTGGAGGTGTTGGTGTAGTTGTAGTAGGAGGAGTGGTTGTTGTTGTAGGAGGTGTAGTCGTAGTTGTAGTAGTAGGAGGTGTTGGTGTAGTTGTTGTCGGAGGAGTGGTTGTTGTTGTAGGAGGTGTAGTCGTAGTTGTTGTAGTAGGAGGTGTTGGTGTAGTTGTAGTAGTAGGAGTGGTTGTAGTTGTAGGAGGTGTAGTTGTAGTAGGAGGAGTAGTTGTAGTTGTAGGAGGTGTAGTTGTAGTTGTCGTAGTAGGAGGTGTTGTTGTAGTTGTTGTCGGAGGTGAGGTTGTAGTTGTCGTAGTAGGAGGTGTACTTGTGGTAGTTGGAGGCGTTGGTGTAGTTGTAGTAGGAGGAGTGGTTGTTGTTGTAGGAGGTGTAGTCGTAGTTGTTGTAGTAGGAGGTGTTGGTGTAGTTGTAGTAGTAGGAGTGGTTGTAGTTGTAGGAGGTGTAGTCGTAGTTGTTGTAGTAGGAGGTGTTGGTGTAGTTGTAGTAGTAGGAGGTGTTGGTGTAGTTGTTGTCGGAGGAGTGGTTGTTGTTGTAGGAGGTGTAGTCGTAGTTGTTGTAGTAGGAGGTGTTGGTGTAGTTGTAGTAGTAGGAGTGGTTGTAGTTGTAGGAGGTGTAGTTGTAGTAGGAGGGGTAGTTGTAGTTGTAGGAGGTGTAGTTGTAGTTGTTGTGGTAGGAGGTGTAGTTGTGGTAGTCGGAGGTGAGGTTGTAGTTGTTGTAGTAGGCGGTGTAGTTGTGGTAGTTGGTGGCGTTGGTGTAGTTGTTGTAGGAGGAGTGGTTGTTGTTGTAGGAGGTGTAGTCGTAGTTGTTGTAGTAGGAGGTGTTGGTGTAGTTGTTGTAGGAGGAGTGGTTGTAGTTGTAGGAGGTGTAGTTGTAGTAGGAGGAGTAGTTGTAGTTGTAGGAGGTGTAGTTGTGGTAGTTGGAGGCGTTGGTGTAGTTGTAGTAGGAGGAGTGGTTGTTGTTGTAGGAGGTGTAGTCGTAGTTGTTGTAGTAGGGGGTGTTGGTGTAGTTATAGTAGTAGGAGTCGTTGTTGTTGTTGTAGGAGGTGTAGTCGTAGTTGTTGTAGTAGGAGGTGTTGGTGTAGTTGTAGTAGTAGGAGTGGTTGTAGTTGTAGGAGGTGTAGTTGTAGTAGGAGGAGTAGTTGTAGTTGTAGGAGGTGTAGTTGTAGTTGTCGTAGTAGGAGGCGTTGTTGTAGTTGTTGTCGGAGGTGAGGTTGTAGTTGTCGTAGTAGGAGGTGTACTTGTGGTAGTTGGAGGCGTTGGTGTAGTTGTAGTAGGAGGAGTGGTTGTTGTTGTAGGAGGTGTAGTCGTAGTTGTTGTAGTAGGAGGTGTTGGTGTAGTTGTAGTAGTAGGAGTGGTTGTAGTTGTAGGAGGTGTAGTCGTAGTTGTTGTAGTAGGAGGTGTTGGTGTAGTTGTAGTAGTAGGAGGTGTTGGTGTAGTTGTTGTCGGAGGAGTGGTTGTTGTTGTAGGAGGTGTAGTCGTAGTTGTTGTAGTAGGAGGTGTTGGTGTAGTTGTAGTAGTAGGAGTGGTTGTAGTTGTAGGAGGTGTAGTTGTAGTAGGAGGGGTAGTTGTAGTTGTAGGAGGTGTAGTTGTAGTTGTTGTGGTAGGAGGTGTAGTTGTGGTAGTCGGAGGTGAGGTTGTAGTTGTTGTAGTAGGCGGTGTAGTTGTGGTAGTTGGTGGCGTTGGTGTAGTTGTTGTAGGAGGAGTGGTTGTTGTTGTAGGAGGTGTAGTCGTAGTTGTTGTAGTAGGAGGTGTTGGTGTAGTTGTTGTAGGAGGAGTGGTTGTAGTTGTAGGAGGTGTAGTTGTAGTAGGAGGAGTAGTTGTAGTTGTAGGAGGTGTAGTTGTGGTAGTTGGAGGCGTTGGTGTAGTTGTAGTAGGAGGAGTGGTTGTTGTTGTAGGAGGTGTAGTCGTAGTTGTTGTAGTAGGGGGTGTTGGTGTAGTTATAGTAGTAGGAGTCGTTGTTGTTGTTGTAGGAGGTGTAGTCGTAGTTGTTGTAGTAGGAGGTGTTGGTGTAGTTGTAGTAGTAGGAGTGGTTGTAGTTGTAGGAGGTGTAGTTGTAGTAGGAGGAGTAGTTGTAGTTGTAGGAGGTGTGGTTGTGGTTGTTGTAGGAGGAGTGGTTGTTGTTGTAGAAGGAGTAGTTGTAGTTGTAGGAGGTGTAGTCGTAGTTGTAGTGGGAGGAGTGGTTGTAGTTGTTGTAGGAGGAGTGGTTGTAGTTGTAGGAGGTGTAGTTGTCGTAGTAGGAGAAGTAGTTGTAGTTGTAGGAGGTGTGGTTGTAGTTGTAGTTGTAGGAGGTGTGGTTGTAGTTGTTGTAGTAGGAGGTGTAGTTGTGGTTGTTGTAGTAGGAGGTGTAGTTGTACTTGTTGTAGTAGGAGGTGTAGTTGTGGTAGTTGGAGGCGTTGGTGTAGTTGTAGTAGGAGGAGTGGTTGTTGTTGTAGGAGGTGTAGTCGTAGTTGTTGTAGTAGGAGGTGTTGGTGTAGTTGTAGTGGTAGGAGTGGTTGTAGTTGTAGGAGGTGTAGTTGTAGTAGGAGGAGTGGTTGTTGTTGTAGGAGGTGTAGTCGTAGTTGTTGTAGTAGGAGAAGTAGTTGTGGTTGTTGTAGGAGGAGTGGTTGTTGTTGTAGGAGGTGTTGGTGTAGTAGTTGTAGTAGGAGGTGTAGTTGTGGTAGTTGTAGTAGGAGGTGTTGGTGTAGTTGTTGTAGGAGGAGTGGTTGTAGTTGTAGGAGGTGTAGTTGTAGTAGGAGGAGTAGTTGTAGTTGTAGGAGGTGTAGTTGTGGTTGTTGTAGAAGGAGTAGTTGTAGTTGTAGGAGGTGTAGTCGTAGTTGTTGTAGTAGGAGGTGTAGTTGTGGTAGTTGGAGGCGTTGGTGTAGTTGTAGTAGGAGGAGTGGTTGTAGTAGTAGGAGGTGTAGTTGTTGTAGTGGGAGGTGTAGTTGTGGTAGTCGGAGGTGTGGTTGTAGTTGTTGTAGGAGGAGTGGTTGTAGTTGTAGGAGGTGTAGTTGTTGTAGTGGGAGGTGTAGTTGTGGTAGTCGGAGGTGTGGTTGTAGTTGTAGTAGGAGGAGTGGTTGTTGTAGGAGGTGTAGTCGTAGTTGTAGTAGGAGGTGTAGTCGTAGTTGTTGTAGTAGGAGGTGTAGTTGTGGTTGTCGGAGGTGTAGTTGTAGTTGTAGTGGGAGGTGTAGTTGTGGTAGTCGGAGGTGTTGATGTAGTCGTGGTACTAGGGGATGTGGTTGTTGAACATATCTTACAACAATATACCCTTATCTCATAGTCATAGCACTTTCTTGGAGGTCTAGTCTGATCCTCTACTCTACATATTAAACCAGTGTCCTGATCACAACTAACAACTTGGCCAGTTTCAGTCACAAAGTCATCAAAGGTTTTGTCCGGGTATAGTACCGCTCTACACTCAATGTCTTGAATATCTTCACATATTTGAAGACCGCTATCTGTGATGTTTTTGTATGTTTCCCAATCACTTTTGTCCGTTGGATCATCCACATCATACCAGTCTGACCACGCACATGTGGTACTTGGAATGCAAGTAGTCGATGAGATTGTGGTTGTACTTGTGGTAGTCGGAGGTGTAGGTGTAGTTGTAGTAGGAGGAGTAGTTGTAGTAGGTGTAGTCGTAGTTGTTGTAGTAGGAGGTGTACTTGTGGTAGTTGAAGGTGTGGCTGTAGTTGTACTTGTGGTTGTCGGAGGTGTAGTCGTAGTTGTTGTAGTAGGAGTGGTTGTTGTAGTTGTAGGAGTGGTAGTTGTAGTTGTAGGAGGAGTGGTTGTTGTTGTAGGAGGTGTAGTCGTAGTTGTTGTAGTAGGGGGTGTTGGTGTAGTTGTGGTAGTCGGAGGAGTGGTTGTTGTTGTAGGAGGAGTAGTTGTAGGAGGTGTAGTTGTAGTTGTTGTAGTAGGAGGTGTTGTTGTAGTTGTTGTAGTAGGAGGTGTTGGTGTAGTTGTTGTAGGCGGAGTGGTTGTTGTTGTAGGAGGAGTAGTTGTAGTTGTAGGAGGTGTAGTCGTAGTTGTTGTAGTAGGAGGTGTAGGTGTAGTTGTGGTAGTCGGAGGAGTGGTTGTTGTTGTAGGAGGAGTAGTTGTAGAAGGTGTAGTTGTACTTGTGGTAGTCGGAGGTGTAGGTGTAGTTGTAGTAGGAGGAGTAGTTGTAGTAGGTGTAGTTGTAGTTGTTGTAGTAGGAGGTGTACTTGTGGTAGTTGAAGGTGTGGCTGTAGTTGTACTTGTGGTTGTCGGAGGTGTAGTCGTAGTTGTTGTAGGAGGAGTAGTTGTAGTTGTAGGAGGAGTAGTTGTAGTTGTAGGAGGAGTGGTTGTTGTTGTAGGAGGTGTAGTCGTAGTTGTTGTAGTAGGAGGTGTTGGTGTAGTTGTGGTAGTCGGAGGAGTGGTTGTTGTTGTAGGAGGAGTAGTTGTAGTTGTTGTAGGAGGAGTGGTTGTAGTAGTGGTAGTCGGAGGTGTGGTTGTAGTGGAAGGTGTAGTTGTGGTAGTTGGAGGTGTGGTTGTAGTTGTTGTAGGAGGAGTGGTTGTAGTAGTAGGAGGTGTAGTTGTGGTTGTCGGAGGTGTGGTTGTAGTTGTAGTGGGAGGAGTGGTTGTAGTTGTAGGAGGTGTAGTTGTGGTTGTCGGAGGTGTGGTTGTAGTTGTAGTGGGAGGAGTGGTTGTAGTAGTAGGAGATGTAGTTGTGGTTGTAGTTGTTGTAGGAGGAGTGGTTGTAGTTGTAGGAGGTGTAGTTGTGGTTGTCGGAGGTGTGGTTGTAGTTGTAGGAGGTGTAGTTGTGGTTGTTGTAGGAGGAGTGGTTGTAGTAGTGGTAGTCGGAGGTGTGGTTGTAGTAGTAGAAGGTGTAGTTGTGGTAGTCGGAGGTGTGGTTGTAGTTGTTGTAGTAGGGGTGGTTGTAGTAGTAGGAGGTGTAGTTGTGGTTGTCGGAGGTGTGGTTGTAGTTGTTGTAGGAGGAGTGGTTGTAGTAGTAGGAGGTGTAGTTGTGGTAGTCGGAGGTGTAGTTGTGGTTGTTGGAGGTGTAGTTGTAGTTGTAGTGGGAGGTGTAGTTGTGGTAGTCGGAGGTGTTGATGTAGTCGTGGTACTAGGAGATGTGGTTGTTGAACATATCTTACAACAATATACCCTTATCTCATAGTCATAGCACTTTCTTGGAGGTCTAGTCTGATCCTCTACTCTACATATTAAACCAGTGTCCTGATCACAACTAACAACTTGGCCAGTTTCAGTCACAAAGTCATCAAAGGTTTTGTCCGGGTATAGTACCGCTCTACACTCAATGTCTTGAATATCTTCACATATTTGAAGACCGCTATCTGTGATGTTTTTGTATGTTTCCCAATCACTTTTGTCCGTTGGATCATCCACATCATACCAGTCTGACCACGCACATGTGGTACTTGGAATGCAAGTAGTCGATGAGATTGTGGTTGTACTTGTGGTAGTCGGGGGTGTAGGTGTAGTTGTAGTAGGAGGAGTAGTTGTAGTAGGTGTAGTCGTAGTTGTTGTAGTAGGATGTGTTGGTGTAGTTGTTGTAGGAGGAGTGGTTGTTGTTGTAGGAGGTGTAGTCGTAGTTGTTGTAGTAGGAGGTGTTGGTGTAGTTGTAGTAGTAGGAGTGGTTGTAGTTGTAGGAGGTGTACTTGTGGTAGTTGGAGGTGTGGGTGTAGTTGTAGTAGGAGGAGTGGTTGTTGTTGTAGGAGGTGTAGTCGTAGTTGTTGTAGTAGGGGGTGTTGGTGTTGTTGTAGTAGTAGGAGTGGTTGTTGTTGTAGGAGGTGTAGTCGTAGTTGTTGTAGTAGGAGGTGTTGGTGTAGTTGTTGTAGGAGGAGTGGTTGTTGTTGTAGGAGGTGTAGTCGTAGTTGTTGTAGTAGGAGGTGTTGGTGTAGTTGTAGTAGTAGGAGTGGTTGTAGTTGTAGGAGGTGTAGTTGTAGTAGGTGTAGTCGTAGTTGTTGTAGTAGGTGTAGTTGTGGTAGTTGGAGGTATTGTCGTAGTTGGCTCACATACATCCACACATGTTTTGTTTTTCTCATCAAATATGGGCTTATCTTCTGGGCATACAGGGTAACAGCCTGTATAAAAGGATATCACATAATAACCTTAATTAATATTTCTGAATGGCACATTTATCTGATTCAAGGTAATACAAACTGACACGACTGAACCTCCTACCTTCCAGGGTGGGTATCGGATTCAAACATACACCTTCTGGATTCAAACAGGTCTTGTAGCATGGAGAGTGGCAAGGGTTATAGTGCCACGTGCATATAAATGGGTCGTTGTAGTAATCACAATAGACAGCTAGGAGAAAAAGATACAAATTATGCCATTTACTTAGATGATTAAAATGTTGACTAAAATATATGAAATTTCAATTTATAATGTGAATGCAGTTCAAACTCCACTCTCACATTAAAATTTAATAAGGTTATTGAAAATATTTTGGAATTTCTGTCTGATTGCACTAAAATAAAAAGATTGCAATGAGATTATTTATTTGATTTTGGAAATAAGTAACCCTGACTATAATATACACTGAGTTTAAATTGAAGTGAATGTGTTACATATGCAAGTGTTATAAACTAAAGCAAATATTGTCTGCAGTATATTTGATGTTAGATTACATAAGTAATAAGTCTTTACTTATTACAGATGCAAAATTTGTTTCCTTTCACTTTTCCACATATTATTTTTGTTGTGATTATCGTTAATCACATTTGACCTACACTCAGTATTTAAGAATGATCCCACTACAATTGCATATCCTTTTCAATAGAGCCCAACATGTTATATTACAGGATTTTTTTAAGCTAACACAAACCAAACACCGACTCTGGAACAATCACTTTGCACATCCATTTTCTTTTGCATTTAACACTTAGAAATGTGTTGTCCGGAGAGGTTTAATTAATTGTCTGACTATTGTAAAAATGAGAAAATTCCGTTTCAGATGCTTTATAAGCTTGCAAAAGCACGTGTCCACTTTGGTCCCTATTGGTTATTGAGTGTAGCTTGATACAGAAAAGATCAAGTTTATTAATTAATAATAATAAAGTAAAAAATACGAAAAATGATGGGGTATGTTTACTGAGCAGATTGATATATAGATCTCTGTAGTTGCAAACACCAGGCTCACAAGAATTTAAAGCCTCAAAAAACAAAAAACAAACTGTTACTCACGACAGATCTCTGGAGTTCTCCATGCAATGCAAACATCATGCTCATTGCAAGCCTGAGCGTAAGCTGCAACTGCTGTGCAGAAACATTCACAGTCTCCTCCAGTGTCGCAGGCACATGAGTCTTTTACGCAGTTTTCATAAAATGGAAAAGGGCTAACCTGAACAGTGGTGCAAATTTGATGATGATTTTTTTTTAGAGCATTGTTTTAGATTTGCGTGAATGTGAACAAGTTACAAATTCTCATTACCTTTTTGTGGCATTCTTTAAATGTTTCTCCAATTATGATGCTACACATCAATTTTGCCCACTGATGTCGACCGGGTGTTACTGCGCACGGATCAATGTTCACCTCCGCATCTGGACAAGAGCTAGACACTTTCCAGCTGTTTGCAAACTCAAGTGGATTGCTCACCACCAGCTGACCCTGAGTGGTGTAGTCATTCTGTCCATCACCATCGAAATTACCACACAGGCCACACACCTCTCCCTGTGCAAATAAACAAAAGAGTCAATCGAGCAATGTGAGATCTTAATAAATATAATTTAGTGATTTACATTTATCATAATTTCATTAATATATTAGGCTCCTAGGAATTTTCTTTCTTTTTTAGAAATGATTCTGTTAATTTTTTCAATATGAGGTATTGAAAACCACAAGTATGTGGTCAGACAAAAAAGGGTACAATAAAATAGTAAAACTTTAATGCAAGAATTTAATGTAACAGTTACTGTGACTCACGTTGTGCGTTGGTTCAAGCAGGATCCGAACAGCTGTTTTGCGATCCCACATCACTGCCATCCCAATCTCAGATTCTACAACCACATACAAGCCAACATTCCTTATCTTGTACTTGATCTCAGGTCCATGTCCCAGATCACCCTCTTCAACTCTTCCCCTTGATAGTTTAATTTCATTTCTCTGTAATGAAGGAAAGGAAATTTCTGTTGGTTCAATTGCAATGCTGAAAATATATTTACTTAGATTTACTATTGATGGCATAAGAAAGCTTTGATATTGTTTATAAGTGATCTTACCCCCAGTTGAATTCTGACTTTTTTAGAGCAGGTGGTGCCCGTAGAGCCACAAGGTACATTTTCAGTGATAACTCCAAAGCTGTTGTGCACCGTTTTATTGCCACAGTTGTTCTGTTAAAAAAAAAAAGGGAAAAAAAAGGTTAAACTTTGTGTTTTTTGGGGGCTAAAGTAGACGATAACAGGAACAAGATTATGCACTTAAATGTTATATATTGACTAACTGCCTTTGAATCTTTATGTAATGACTTTTGGAGACACAGTGTAGGTAATTCTTAACTGTCTCAAATCTTTGCACTTAGAAAAAATGATATTATTTACAATATAAGGCATTTGCTCCTTGCAATTTCACCTATGAGTTCTAAGTAAGTAATTGTATTTGGTAAACAAAATATACAGTGTGAATGGCATGTAACTTTTTTTTTACAAAGGAAATTAGAGTTGCATAACTGACTTTACTCCTAATTGTTCAGAGTTTATTTCTATGAGAAACTTTAGATCAGGACATGACAAGGTCAATTTAGGTGACAGCTGTGCTTTGGATGATTCTGGCATACATTATTTACCTTTACAGCAATATAGCCACACTGTCCTTGAAATGCATATGTTTTCTGATCAAATGTGGTGTAGTGACCACTTCCATAAATAATGCAAGTTCCTGGACATTTTTTCTCAGAGCATGTCCATTTTCCACTTTGGCAGGTACTAAATGTATCAAAAAAAAAAAGTAAATACAGTACAATTTGAATACTGTGAGAAAAACATGTCATATATATCACATACTGTTTATTACTCTACAAGTATTAATTAGAAAATAACTAAAAAAATAAAATAAGATCCTACCAGGTGTTGCACTGATTAGGTATTTGTGTCCCGGAGACATAGAGATGGCCATCATGTTTGCATGGACAGTCACTTTCTTTCACACAGAAACCTTTACCATCATCAAGGAGGCCACTGGGACACCGACAACCAGATTCACACTCTGTGGCATCCTGGGAGGATAGAAAGACCACATTGATAAAAAATAAATAAATAAATAAATAAATAAATAAATAAATAAATAAATAAATAAATAATATTTATCAGATATTGTTTTTTCAGACTTGGAGGTGCATCAAAAACAACTCACACAATCATCATTGTCCAGATTTAAACAAGTTCGAGCACACTGCACTCCAACAACTCCTGCGCTTGCAGTGGAGCAGTTGAAGTATTCTTTTGGAGAAGGACAAGCTGTAGAAACTGTAGGAAAAAAAGTACAAATTCCTTTAATATACTATATATTGTCTTAAAAAAACTCTCTCATTGAAGAAGAAAAAAAACTGACTTGACATGCGGGTTCTCCCAGAATGGCAATGAAGAACTCCGTTGGTGCATATGCTAGAAAAAGTCACCAGAATTATAAAGATACAACACAAAAAGCCAAGTCTGTGTAAATCCATCATACTACATGTATTACGGTCCTGTTTAATCCTTAGTTTAGAATGTTTCATTTGAAATCCTGAAGTGACTCACCAGCGCTCGTTGTTGGTGCTGATGGACTTGCCTGACTTTACGTAGACTTCATTATGGTAACAGGGACACTTTGCCACTGGGACACAGATGCCGTTGTCATCTAGGTAGTGACCCTCAGCGCAGGAACAGCCATCCACAGGCAAGAAATCAGAGGTGCAGCTCTGCTGCTTTAAGCTCAATGAGCTGCAAGTCAGCTGGCATCTCTGATTTTTGTAAGAGAAGGTCTGAGATGCTGGGCAGTTCTTGGTGTATTTTTCTGTTTTACAGAAAATATGCTAATGATTACCTCATAGTTTTGGACTAACTAATAAAAAAGAACACGCTCATCAAACTTCATTACTGAGCTGTTTCAGATACACTTACCGCACACATTCTCTCTCCAGTCTGTCAAGAACACTCCCTTTGATGCACAAGCTCTTGTGTAGGAGGAGAAGACAGCACACAGGCAGTCCTCACTCTTCTCACAGTTACAGCTAGCATAAGTACATCGCTGTAGAAAACAGTGAACACATTTTTATTGTATTACAGTCCCACTGTATTTAGTTAAAGAAACACAGATAGATTGTGTTGTACCTTGTAGTAAATCTCAGGATCCACTACAGAATGGCACTCTGCAAAGGTGCTATTTGGCTGTCGTAGCAAGGCGCACCAGTGATTGGCATACTTTTCTATAAGTAGATGAGTAAAAATGTCATTTCTTGCTTATATTTCTTGCTTGTTTATATATGCTGCAATTAGTGCCTGGAAAGTAAGTTTCAAGAAAATGATAGCAATTAAAGAAATAAACTTCCTTCCATCCATCCATCCATTCTCTTCCACTTATCCTTGTCAGGGTCGCGGGGTGGGTGGGAGGTAGGGTACACCCTGGACACACCGTGGACACGTTGCCAGTGTGTCACAGGGCTAACACATAGAGGATAGACAACCATTCACACTCACATCCACACCTATGACCAATTTATAGTTACTAATTAATCCAAACCCACTAAACAAATAGGTGGAGTTCAGAAAAAAACATAAACGTGGACAACAAAATAAGGAATAAGAAATAAACTTGATGGACAAAAACACTTTCCAGTTTACCATTTTCCACGCTGAAAGAACAAGGGTCATCGAGTCTGTCTTCTCTGTCTTGGCATATATGGCTAGCCTTCCAGGAGTTACTGAAAGCTGCTGCACTTCCCTCCACAATGCCCTGACGAGTGTTCATGTCATCAGACAGGACCATGTTGTAGTTCCCACATAAACCTAAAAATTACAGATTCTTAATGAAGAAATTATCATGAAATGCAAATAAGAATGCTAAAGAAAAAAGTATATCAAAATAAATTATTTTCAATGACTTGCTAGTTGGGTGGTATTCAGAGTGGGACAATCCTGAGATCATCCCTGGTCACATACAACACAATTTCTCTATTATGTTCTTTGGCTACCTCAGTGTCTACTTTTCACTGAACCTTCAAGATAGCCTTTTTATTTTGGCATACCAGTTAGCTGCCCACACCATCTTAACTGGTTCCTTTTCATCTGAAGAAGCTAACAGTCTATTACGAGCGCCTTCATTATTTTTTAAATTTCTCGCCGTAGCTCTAAGAGTGGGCGAGGCCATTTATTACAACCTTTTAGCCAAAAGGTTGTAATAAGGTTGCTGGCAGTGTTTAATTAAAAAAACAACAACATATGAATCACTGAAGTCAACATAATCTGCTGTTGTTTCATTTGTTTAAGCTGCAAATGGCAAAGTTTGTTTCGAAATGCACAGATATAACCATCTTCAACAGACAGCATTCTTTAAGTCTTGCAATAAATAGTTACTTAATAAATGCATACTAGCCCTCGTGATATAATGCTTTAAGACTAATGTAAAACTTACCACGTGTCTTTTCTCTGTAGCTCTGCTCCAGGCTGACATAGACTTGCATGAGAGGCACATGTTGGATCTGAATTTGCAAACCAAAACTGGTCTGGAGGATGATGTGAAAGGACGAAGCGTGGAATATACTGATATCCCCTGTGAATGAAGAGATACACAAAAATCAGTGGTATCAGTGGCTCAGTGGCTAAGTTCTTACATCTCAGCATAAATGAAAGTAACATCTTAAATCGAAAGTTCCTTATTTTCCGACCAACCTGAGAAGTACGGCAAACTGATACTCTGCATATTCTGCTTTACTGCGCCATCAGCAGTGAATGTTAACACCTGAATAAAAACAGAATCGATCATTAAAATGTTGCAGCTGTCAGTATCTATTTAAAGCACGAGCCCGGTATTAAACTCACATTGTGTCTGTCATTGTTCAGCAGGATTTTGATGGTCTTCAGACAGGTGTCATACTCTTGGTGTGCACATGGTACCAGTTTGACCAGAATGGTAAACGCAGGGCTTGCATCATCCTGAAATACACATAATGTAAGCAAAAGAAAAAAAATGTAGCCTAATCCAATATATTTTTACTTACATGTGCCCAACACAGTATTGTCTAAAATTTGACTGTACTGTACTAAGGCTCATTTACCTTTCTTTCCACCTTTGCCAGGGTGTAGTAACAGTCTCCATGGAAGGTGAAGTCTTTCCCATCAAAGGTGGTTACATGTGAACCTTCTTCAACCGCACACGTAGAAGGTGTTGAAAGACTTTCACAAGCCCATCTACCTTCAAAACACGTGCTGAAAAAAAAAAACCCAAATTCATTAAGAAAACAAAATATGCAGACACATTGTTAAAAATTACATTCTGATTGCATTATGAACATTACCATTCCTCTCGCTCCTGTCTGTAAACTTCACCAGATTCATAGATTTTTCCATGCTTGCACTGGCATTCAGACTGAGCAATACACCCCCTCATGGAAATGTCATCGAACACGGTTCCTGAAATGGAAGGTTGGCATTTGAAGGTAACATCCCATGAAAAGAGAAGCTTTAACAGGTGTGTAGAAAGAAACTTATTTGACAAGCGCGCTAACCAGGAGGACAGAAGCAGCCGTCCATTTTGTGGTCCTCACAGAATGAGCTTGTGTCTTGATGCGTGCAGGTATCCACACAAGGGGATCCACTCTCTTCATAAACCATGTTGAATGGGCACTGTTTGGCTGTGAAGGAAGTGGGAATTTACGCAAAGTGTCTAAACATCAACTTGTTGAAGTTTTTCACTTGAGTGTAAAAACAGCAGATTTTTTTGTGCACTTATTTTACTTCTGACATTTGCCAAATTTCACCATATACTTGGCTCAGGTGATTTCAGTGTTTTGGTACTCTCTCTACCACTTAATATATAAAATACAAAAAGAAAAAGAAAAAGAAAGAAAAAACAAAACTTTACCACAGAACTCAGAAGTCCTCCAGTTGGGAGGCTCCCCTCCTGCATGGGAACACTGTCGAGAGAACTCAGAGAGTGTGCTGCAGACACAAAAGTCATCTGAATGGTTGGTGCAGCCACACATGTCCTGCACACAGGCCTGAATGTAAGGCTCGGGGTCAATCAGTTTGGTACAGGAGCTCCAGGTTTCTGCATGCAGCATCTCTTCACAGGTGTTTTGCTAAACGACAGTAAACACATGCACAATTATTTAATGCAAACAAAAAAAAACATCAGATCTCTTTCGTTAAACCTGGCTAAAGTAGGTAACAAAACTCACAAACTCTTTGCATGACTCTGGCACATTCATAGCTTCCTGTGAGACATCTTCCTCTTCATATGGGTCCTCACAATCATCATTTGGACGATGGACTTTATGTATGTTGCCAAACTCAATGGGGCTGATTTTCCGACCTTTTGCATACAATTACATTAGTAGGGACACGCAATAGCCAGCATATTGAAGATTTAAAAAATTAATGAATGATGAACAGCTTTTACCATCAAGGAGGAACTCGTTGTAAACTGGAACACCGTTAAAATCTCCACAAAGTCCACAAGTGCGGTTAGTGTAATCATTATCAATTTCCACCTTAAATATGGAGTAAAGGGTTAGAAAAAGTTTTAGAAACCAGACATGACATGTTTAAGATATTAATACAGTATATATATATAATATATAATATATATAATAATAAAATAAAATGAAACGAATGCATCAAAGTTGCCACATTTAAGGACTTTACATGTATGCAAGGACAATAGTAACCACTGTAACTATTGTTGTAGTGAACCAGGTAATCGGCAATTCAACTCGAGGACAATGTATTTATTTAAATGCCACACAGACCAAAATATAAAAGTATGGCTAAGTATTTCTGGAGGTTGGGCTGTTAGTCATTAATAAAAGAAATGTGTTTAAAATAATGTCCTATTGGATCTGTCTATTTTAAGGATTTACCATGACTGCATCATCAAGGTTCCACATGACAATGATGCCAACTTTGGACTGGAGCTTGATGTAGACTGCATTTCTTTCCACTTGTACTCCGGCCTCGTAGTGTGGCAGTTTGACACTGAGAAGAAAGATAATATCTTTTTGACAATTATAATTCATTTATATCTATAATTAACATTATATAAGAAGCATCTCTGTAATGAATAAAGTCTTTTGCATTAGTAAATCACTCTGTGAACTTCAGCTGTGCTTTTTATGAGTGTATACAAGTGCTGAGGGGAAGTGTGCGTAATGATGAACATGGTCAATCAATCAATCAATCAATCAATCAATCAAAGATTAATAAGCATGTGGATATTTCTTCCTACTCCATTTCAGACTTGATGATGATTTAGTGGTTAATTCATGTCATTAGGATTGTGTGTATGTATTGTTTATATATATATATCTGAGATAAAAGATTATCATTGTCATCATAATTCTATCAGAGTTACTTTTTTTTTTTTTAAACTTACGGCAGGTCGTTCACAGTGACCACATCCTTGCTGAGGTGAAATGCAAAATCGATGATGGTGACCACCACATAACTGACTGTCGGGTTTCCATTGTTTTCATTCCTCTTCATGTGCACAGAGAACTCTGGGAAGGTGTCATGGCAGTCGGAGACCAGCTTGTACTCACACATACCGGGAAACTGGTACACATCACCATCAAACGTCTTGAAGTGCTCACGGCCCCATGTGCTACAGATGCTGCTCACATGGTTGCGGACTGGAGAAACATTCACGTAAATAAAAGATGAATATTGGTGGAAGTATTATAAATGTTGTGTTCATATATGCATCAATGAAGAAGATACATTTATTTAAATAATTGAGGTTTAAAAGCAGACCAAAATTATTTGAGTCTTACCCAATCTGGCTTGGATCTCAGTGACATGGGCTATAGTCAAAGCAAGGAAGCACAACCCCACCGAACTCCCCCTCATTGTTGCCACTGTGGACTTGATGTTCCCTGAGTGGGTAATGTAGAGAGTGGTTCTTGACTACCTTTTATATTGAGATCAGACTTTTTTTTTCTCACAGCTTCTTCCTGTGTAAGACGTGAAGATTTATTGCTAGTCGTGGCAAACATGTGCTGGATGGCTGTCCAACACCCTTCACAAATCCCATATAACTTATTATTACATCCTTCCTCTTGATTGAACAAGTATGTTTGCACTTGAATATATCTTCATTTCAAGACAACAGAGGCAGCAATAAAATGCTCCTCTGTTCTAAATCTATTGTTTCATAAGGATCCAATAATTATAATTTATTAAAAACAGAAATGAAAAGGGGAAAATGAGACACTGGGATGTCAAATTTCTTACAAACCTGCCAAGGAAGTAAAGATCTCATGAGTGACTATGACCATGCAGGTATCACCTAACATAATATGAAATCTACGTGACATGCTTTAAGCAAAGCTTATGCCAACTTGTCTACCATCTGCTTTACATTTGATAAGATCATTGACAAACATCCTGCAATACTCGGGAGCTTGCTCATGTATTCATGTTCTACTCAAAAGCCATTAAGCAGCAGAGTTTGATTCCTTCAGCTTTATCTCTAGCAGCTCATTCTTGGGAATGTTGCAAATTCACAAACAGAAAGGAACTTTAAACCGAGGAAAGAAAAGTCTCAATTTGATCGGGGGTGTTTTACACATTACATACACAATTGACCAATGTATGTCTTTAACTAATTTTCATCAGTTTACTCATATATCCCTGTAGGGCTGCATTCTCAGCCCCCTACTGTAATTTATTTATTTATATATTTATGACTGAACACCAACCCAACCAATGTCATCGTTAAGTAGACCAATGTCACCACCGCTATTGGGCTCATCTCTGATGAGACAGCGTACAGGGCAGAGGTTGAGAATTGATAACCTGAAACTGAACCTCCCTCATACAAAAGAACTCAGATATTAGTACTTTAAGTTTGGGACCCATCAGAAGGCCCATCAGCGGCCACACTTCCTCTGCATCCAGAGGAAGAACAAACTCGACCTGAAGCTGCTACTGGCCTACTACCGCCCCTCAGTGGAGAGCGGGTTCTCCTACTGCCTGGATGTTTTCTATTCAGGGACCACGAAAAATCATTCACTGTACTTTTCCACCACTGAAGGGCATCGCCAGATCGTTCTGTCTCAGGAAAATCAGACCTATCACAGGTGACCCCTTGCACCCTGCCTGCTTGACCCGCTGTCTTCTGGTCGGCGCCTCAGGTCAATCAGGTCCCACACCTCCAAACGCATAAACTTCTTCCCCTGAGCCAGTGTCATGGTCCTGGGTCGTGTGACCCAGTGCTTTGAGTTTCCATGTATTTTGATATTGATTGTGTATGTTTAGTTCTTTTGGTAGTAGCTTCCAGGTTACTTAGTTTACTTCTTTGTTTATTAGATCCCTTTATGTCATCACCCCTGTGTTAAGTATTCCCTGCTGGTTTGTGTCATGTCTATGTCTCTCCATATTTCCTGTTTTATGTTGAAATGTCTTGTGTTTCTTTGTACAATGTGTTTAGTTTTACTCTCCCCTGTGATGTCATTATGTTTCTTTCTAGTCAGCTGTTTCCTCATGTGTCTCCACTTTCTCTGATCACCTCATGTGTGTATTTAGTCTTTGTGTTGTCAATCAATCTTTGTCAGGATGTCTATTTTCCTCCATGCTCGTCACAGCATTCATAATGTCAGAGCTTTCATATTGTCTCATAGCTTCACAGTTCTGTCATAGTTATCTTGTTTTAATTTTCCTAGTTTAGATTACAAGGTTAGTTGTCATTCCTCTTTCGCCCTTGCTTTTATTTTTTACCCCTGTCATCAGCCCTAATAAAGTCTCGCCTTTTGTTTGAATTCAACTCCGTTCTCCTGTATCTGCATTTTGGGTCCATAAGATACCGGCTGCTGACTTTTGGACTGTCAACAAACACTATCCCCCCACACCCCATCCCTGTCCACCCACCCACCAATCTAAGCCATGATCTGAGGAACCCTTATCACTCAGGCCACTCACACATGGACTATACTCAGACCAAGTCCAATGCACTACTTTCAAGCAATTTGCAACCTATCCTCTATTATGCATTTTCCTCTTATTTGTTTATAATCCTCTTGTTTGATATTTATTCTTGCTGCAATACTATTTATAGCTTTAGTCCATGTACAGATGGTGTGGAACACCCACAATTTTATTGTGCATGTGCAATAACAATAAAAATCTATTTTGTTTTATTTTGTTCTATATGTCTAAACATTACAATGTTTGAAATTCCCCTCCGCGAATCACTACCTTGTCATGGTGGAGTGGTTTGTGTGTCCCAGGGATCCCAGGGGCTATGTTGTCTGGGGGCTTTTGCCCCCTGGTAGGGTCTCCCATGGCAAACTGGTTCTGGGTGAGGGACCAGACAAAGGGCGATTCAGAAGACCCTTATGAGAATATCACAGAGGGAACAGATTTTTCGTAATATTTGAAATATATAAATTCAACCAAAACAATAAATGCTACCATAAAATCAAGACATTGTCATTTGACAATAAAATATATTTTAAAACATATCATAAAATTATATTACTTACGCAAAGTTAATATTTGGTAGTGCAGTAAGAGTGCGTAAGGCGCTGTCTAAATTGCTACTGGCTCATGAATTGCACAGGATGTGCAAATAAACTCACAGGTCTAGATCCTTGGTGACTATCATTGCCGACCTGCAGCGTCATGTTTACATGCATTAGGTCTGGTGGCATGTTAGGCTTCAAATTTTTTAACTCTCACACATAGTTTGGACAGTAGTTTTGATTTTTACTTTTAGAACATATTGAACGACTTTCATCACCTTCTACAAAATTCTACCAAACACCTGTATTTTGGTCACAGCTTACTAAATATTTGTATAGGATAAATCATCAACACCTTAGTGAGAGGAAAACTAAACATCAAATGCAGCTTTAAAGGTGCTTCTTCAAAACAGATTTTAAGAAATGTACATTTCAAACTGCTTTAAATGTACAAATATGGCTCCATGTTGAGTCAATGTGAAAGTCAGAGTTCAGATTTTTGCATTTTTGTGTCACAAGTACTATATAAGATAGATAAGTTAAACCTTAATTAGTCCCACACATGAGACATTTTTTGGTTACGGCAGAAAGTGGACAGTACAAGTTAAGAGAATTAAACGTTAATAGAATTGAGTAAGATAAAATAGAATAAGATAAAATTGAATAATATACTATACGAAAATAGAATAAAATACTTTGCTATATCAGGGATATTGCATCTATCTATCTATAGATACAGATATAGATATATTAATTAGGGTTTTTTTTTTTGCTTTTTTTTCCCTTTTTGCCTCTCCTTTCTGGTACAGTAGCAATCAAAATTACCCCCTCCCTGGACCCAGCTTCCCTGCTGATGCCAGTGGGCACCCCCGTTTTCCATAATCAACCAAGAGCAGGGGCCCTAGGCCCATCCAGACTGGGTCCCAGCAGCAGCACTGCCAAGACCCACAGAGCACGGGGCAGCCCACCTGACCACACCACACCAGCAAAACTACACCCACCCCAACATGTGGTGGCTCAGGTGGTAGAGCAGATCAGCTACTGATCGGAAGGTTGGTGGTTCGAACCTTGGCTTTCCCAGTCTGCATGTCAAATATCCTTTGGCAAGATACTAACCCCAAGTTGCCCTCCAATGTGTTCATCAGAGTGTGAATGTAGTTTAGCTTGCACTTGAGTTTAGAAGTGCTTCGAATGGGTGGGTGTGAATGGGTGAATGAGGCATGTTGTGTAGTACTCCGGGAGAGTAGAAAAGCACTATATAAAAATCAGTCCATTTACCAACAATCAGTCAACTCCTAGAATGTTGTCTAGGAAATAGCAGCTCAATGTGGTGGGTTTGTTCCATACAGTACATTCAACATATGACAGGTCTTAGAGAAAGCAGATCTGTCAGTGATAAACCAAGTTTGATCCTGTCAAATCAAAGTGCCCCCAAATTTATTAAGACGTGAAGACAAGATGATTTTTTTAATTAATAGACTAATTGGTGGGGTCTCTGTCCTTCTTAGGAAGAAGACAAACATGGGCATCATACACACAATCAGAAAAGAGCACCATGCAATGGAGCAGTTCACCATCCTGAGTAAAATTGGAGCAATTATATCAACATGGGCTTTACAAATGTCACAGTTCTGTGTCTGTGGGCTCCATGTTTTTCTGTTTGCATCAGTTATCTTTGATTTCATGATGCGTCTTTCCTAGTCTCTTGGTTTTTGATTTCTCTCTCTAGTATTCCCAGCTTAGCATTTCTTGTGTTCTAGTTCTGAGGTTGTGATTCTGTGCTCCTTCTATTTAGTGAACAGTCATCCCTACCGCTTTGTTCCCTTTGTTCTCTGTCAGCTGTATCCCTTAGTCAAGTCTGTGTCTGTTATGTGTTCTGTTTTACTTTGAAAGTCATTATTGAAATAAAATTTAATTTAATTTAATTCTTTCAAATAGATGCAAGTAAAACACATCAAAAAAACAAATAAAATCAAAGATTCAGCGCCACTAATTCCTGTTGCTCATAAATATATTTTCACCTGTTTAAAAATGTGAACACTGGCATCCTTGAAAGAGTGACCTTTGTTCTTTAGATGCAGATGGACAGCCGAGTCTTGTCCCGTGGAGGTGGCCATAGAATGGCCACCTCCACGACGTAATCATGATCAACTGAGTCCAAGGATGCAAGCTAAAATGAAAGCATTTGGCAGTCTCACTGGAAAGACACCATGGTCTAGGAAGCCTTTCACCTGTATCTGCCCAACTGCTTGCCATTCAGCATTACAAAAGGCTGGCCTCAGCCTTGGAACTCGTTCAGTTTCACCTTCACACTGTTCCAAAAATCGCTCCCAAAATGCAGTGTAAACCTCCCTTGACACTCCAGCATCATCAAAAGCATTTTCATTTACAAAGTTCATCTTTAAAGTCACATTCGTTTTGTTACTGTCCATAAATACAGCCAAAAGATCATCAACAACCTTTGTCCTGTGAATTGACACACGGGGCTCTGTGGACTTCCTGAAGTCGATGGGGAAAGATGGTTGCTTTAATCAAAAGGCAAACCTTGTGCGATGAAATTCAGTACATGGTCCTGGGTACAAGACAAAACATGCACATTCCATAAGAAATAATAATCTTCCAGGTGTGTCAGAGTAGTACGGAAAAAAATGGGGGAAAAAAAAAATAAGATGAACTTTTGCGAGATCCATTCATTTTTTCATTCATTTATTTATTCATTTTCAGGCACAACAAATACCTATATTGAACATAAAATACACAAAACAAAAAACAAAACTTGCCTGAAAAAGGAGTGGGACGAAGAAAACTTATTAAATCTCTCAAAAGATCCCGCTACTTTTTGAAAACTAGAAACTCGATTTCATTAATAGCATCTTTGTGTTTTCTTGTTGTTTCTGTTCCATGAGTAGGTTTCCTCCCGGAGCTCCAAAAGCATGCATGGTAAATAAATGGTAATTGTAAATTGGTCATGGAATCTTTCCAAATGTACACTGGGACAGAGTCCAGCCCTGCATAATGCTGAATTCAACACTTGCTGTCATGGCAGGGTGTGTTTTACTACAGGACCCAGAAGAGGTACTGCGGTTTTCTGCAAAAAAAACCCCCCAAAAAAACAAACGAGCCATTATTCTCATATACTCAACACAATGACAAGAACACACCAGACTCTTTCAAAATAAACCGGAAACATGGAGACATAGACATGACAAAGCAAGCTTGACAGACCTAAAACACATGACGGACTAGACAAGAAACCAAAACACATAAACCAAGGAAACAGATGAGAAATAATGAAAAACCTAAACTCAAATAAACCCTAAAACATGAACTTATAACCAAAAACCTAACATAAGAGACTCAAAAATACAAAATAAAACTCAAAACAGGTACAGAGACCCAGCCTGTGACACTTGGTTAAAAAATGGCTGGATGGACGCCCATTAGGCCTTCAAACACAACTCCCTCTCTGAGAGCTTAATCTTTAACTTTCCCTGTTTATAACATATTCATCTAATAATAAGAATGCTAATAAAAAAAGAATTTGAGATTAATTTAATAAATTGTGCTGTAGTTCAGTGAAATGAGCTGTTAACAATGCAGTATAACATACAGGCTAGAGCTTACTTAGAACGAGCCCCAGACAGAGTTATTGCTTCCTTGGTCTTGCATGTTATATTTGAATGATCATATATTTGAATGATCATATTATAACTTTTAAATGTATTTCAAGTCTTCTGTTGTACTTTATTTCAATCCAACATGGAAAAGAAAAAAATAAAGTGAATAAAACAAAAATAAAAAAATCATCTGTGCAAAGCAAATTGTGGGACAGTGATCATATCTTGATATCCAGAATTGCGAATGAAATTATAATATGTTCAATCACACAGCTCCAGTGAAGATTTTTTGTTTTCGCAATATTTAAAATATCTAAATCCAACTAAAATCCTACAAAACAATAAATGCTACCATAAAATCAAGACATTCTCATTTGACAATAAAATAGATTTTAAAACATATCATAAAATTATATTACTTACTTAAAGTTAATATTTGGTAGTGCAGTAAGAGTGTGTAAGGCACTATCTAAATTGCTTGTGGCTCATGAATTGCACAGGATGTGCAAATAAACTGACTGGTCTACATCCTTGGTGACCACCATTGCCGACGTGTTGTATCACGTTTGCATGATACTGTATGAGGTCTGGTGGCCTCTTAAGCTGCAAATTTTTCAACTCTCACACACAGTCTGGACAGTAGGTTTGTGTTTGCTTTTAGAACACATTCGGCGACGTTTAACACTTTCTACCAAATTCTACCAAACATCTGGCTTTTGGGCCCAGCTTACCAAATAATTGTATGGGATAAAAGATCAGTAACTTGGTGAGAGAAAAACTAAAGATGGGCAGCTTCAGAGATGCCCAAAGAATGATTATGATGATTTATGTTCACTATTAAATTTCTACTGTCCAAAAATCACAGATGTCCTGTGATGTATTTTGTTTCTTCTTAACAACAAATTTCAAGAAATGTGCATTTTTACAAACTGCTTTAAATTTACAAATTTGCCTACATGCAAAAGTCAAAGAGTTTTTGAGCATTGTGCGTCACAAGTACAAGTATAAGCAGTTGTATAGTCATCAATTACTGAAGCTGGTGCAGTCATTCCTCTGGTGAGCAGGGATGTAACCAAGCTATCTGTGATTAGATGTATCTACAGATAAACACATGTTTAATCAAATGTTATTTTGCACGCAAAGCTCTTCTTAGTGCAAACAGGGCTTTGAACCACTCCCAAGTGAGGACAGCTGCATGATGAGAAGTCTTTTGCTATTCCTGTCTATGAGTATACATTGTGTTGATTCAGGGAGGACAGTACATGCATCAAATTATTCCAAGACAATTTTGATTAGAGGTGGGTCCCTGTTTACATAATACTATTTAACATTAGATACTTGTTTCAACACTGCTTAAACCAATAAAATAAAGTCCTTAAGCAACTTAAGCATGCTCTTAAGATATGAATCAAATTTTGTAATATATTTGAGATTATAAAGATAAATTTATAGATTAAAACATTTTTTAATCTATAAATTATACATTTGTATTGCTTATATAGTTTGGTGTACTATGGAAAAAAATAAAAAATATAGTATTAAAAACATTTTTTTTAAGTTTCCATTGTAATGCATGTGGAGCATCATGATATTCTGAACCTTTCTTTGAGGAAACTTTCTCTGACTGGACTTAAATTTTAATAGAATTTCCCTGGTTTATGTATTCTAATATTATTTGGAGATTTTACATCAAATCAGCATTAAATTAATAAGCAGCCTTGGTTAATACAACAGAAACTTGTTTTATGTTTTCAGCAAGTAAATTGATATTCCAATAACCTAGATACTACTGTGTACAGTGAGTTCAAGCCCTCATGTTTGCAGAAACATTCTGATAAATGATCAGAATTTTAATATTTCTGACTGTCTGGGTCAAAATTGAATCGAATGAAATCAGTGAGATCAGTGAAATCAGTGAAACCCAGCCCTTTATGTAACTTCATGGACAGAGAAGCTGTTTAGCGGAAGGTGCCTTACAGAAGGAGAAAGAGACATGCTACAAGCCTCTCTGTGCGTTTTGTTTGTTTGTTTGTTTGTTTGTTTTTGCTGTAAGTGCAACAGTTTTCAGAATCAACTTATAATTTTTAAAATATGACACTATCTTGCAGATTCAATCCACTACCAGCTTCGCTTCTCTCACATGTGGACACGTAGTTCCGTCTGCGCACTGCAGATGGCGTTATTTATTTGCGGGTGGCAGGAAGCTTGGTCCTGGTTTCACGCATGCGCAGATACCCACTAGTACTAAATGGAGGCTGTTTGAAACAACCGAGCGGCTTGCTGTGGTGGAAAAGTTAAAAGCATCCGATGATATTGCCTTTAATTGCCTGCTAATAACGGTAGTCAAGAGCGGTCAGTATGGGTGAGTTAAAAAGTGTGCGTCTGCCTGCGAAAGTTAGATAGAAATCCACCATTAATAACTAATTATAGCTGTTAGCTTAACCAATGAACGTGAAATGGACAACATTTAGTATTTATAAGCACCACCTTTACCTTTTACTGGGTGTGCCTTTGTTGTTTCTTGATATTTAGAGTTTCAATATTTAGCATGACACTGAAATGATACAAAAAGATTTACTGTAATCTGTTTAAGCTTTGTGTGGTGAACTATAAACTTTATTCAAACCCTGCCACGGTACATTTAACGTTACGTTAACGACAAAGTGCCAGGAGGGCTGGCTGCCTTTTCCTTGTCCGGATAAATACCTGTAAAATTAAGGTATGCCGTCATTCTAATGCTCCGAGCATGTCAAGCGCAGTGGCTGTCGCGTATATGGCACACTTTAAAATGCGATTCATTGCAAACGTCTAATGTAAAAGGCAAACGTAAACTAAAGCACGACTATAACGAAAAGGAAAGGTAAAGTAAACAAGTGAAATAAAAACCTAACAAACTTAAAAGAGTAAATAAGAAAAACCTTGACTGTGGACTTTGGGGGGGGGGAATCTATGAGGCTTGACAACAGTCAAGCAGGCTATAACAGAGAAATCCCAGCCACTTTGGGTTTTTAGGTGTGGTTTGGGAGCTGAATATGAGGACATGTGGAGATAATCGATCTCTAATCTATCATGCAGCTGATCCTTAAAGGGCTCTCAAAAATTATTAAAATATATTGGTTACCAAATTCTTGAGCCATCCTGGCCATATTTTGCTTCCAAGGAGAAAGGGTTTAGTCCAGTCTTTGTACCTGACTATTTTCTGAGAAATATTTTTCCTTGTTTGTTTCTTTGTTTGTTAAGCCACTTAACACGTGACCTATCAATCACCCAAACAACAACAAAAAAAAAAAAGATAACTGACTCAAAATCCAGCAATGGCCTGAAACAGACCTGAGAGATGCGGCTATTACAACTTACATCTATAAATATATTGTTTCATGCATTGTTCAAAACACTAGACTTAAGGAGCATGACGCCCAGCCGAAAACACTTCAAACAAGTTGAGTTGTTGCTTTCACATTATGAGTGTTGGGCCGAAGTTTTGGAGGAAATCTGCAATGTAGCATGCTGCACTGCAACGACAAGCCGAACAACGCATCTCTGTATGAGCTTAATGGCACACTTGATTCGAGACTGGACACTCTGTAGTCAATATTTGCAGTCAAGCTAGTTTTCTAACAATCATACAGGAGCAGTAATGATAGCTGAGGAAGCTCTTGCGTGACTGGGGTCAGCTAATGTGTGTCACAACGGGATAATGCCATGTAAGGCCCATATTTAATTCATTTTTAATTATTTAATTTAAATGTAAAAATATAAATAGTAGTTTCGATGTGGTGATAATATAAACTATTCCCTCATTTTTACGGAAAATGCACTATATTGTTATATCCATTGCTAATGATTTGTAACAGGATTTTTAACATTTTGTTTGTGTCACACAGTCTTATTGACAATCAAAAATGACTGGAATTGGATTAACGTGTGTACAGGGAATTATAGTATTTTATATAAGAGGTAATACAAGCAGGGATAATTATTTGTACGTTTTTTGTAGTTGGTAAATGCAAGGAAGTAGCTATTAAAACTCCAAGCTTTTTAACTACAGTTGTACATATGTGGATAGAGGTTCAAGTGCTTTTGTTAGGGTATTAACAGAAGTAAGGGGTAAAATGACTTAGATTTTGCTGCCACTTATTGATGTTAAATTTTTCAATCTGAAGAGATCTGAATAATCACTGAGCCTTTACATCAAGTGCTACGGAGAAGTTTGTAGAAATCAGAAACACCAAAATATTGGCTGATAATCTCCTTCATCATTTCTGTAATGCGTTCCTTGGTTTATTTCCTCAGATGGTGGCGCTGACGGTGCTGGGCAAGTGGAGAAAGAGAGCTCATCCCCTCCAGCTGAAACACAGTCTCCTATCATGGACCGTAACCCATCACCACCCCCAGACGCAGCAGATGGAGCGGAGGACGAAGATGTGGATGCCATTGGAGACACTGTTTACAGCAAGCACTGGCTTTTTAGCACCCTGACTCATCTCATCCATGTAGGCTGGCTGCTGATGTAAACTGAAGTGATAAATATTGCACGTTTCATTCAGCACTTAAGTCATGCATCGGTTTGCTGGTTTGGTAGGTGAAAGTGTGCAGTGTTACAGCAGCATTTGCTAATGTCTGTAAAATTGTCTTGCAGATGGTCACAGAGCATTCAGAAGAGCGCTGTGAAGGTCCAATGCAGCTATCTGATGATGAGGAGGAAGACTTGTGCAGAGTGTGGGATATGGCAATGGATAAGGTAGACTTTCTCTTCTGTGTTCCAAAGACCACACACTGTTTGTTTTCCTTGTTAAAGGAGAATAGTTTCATTTGAACAAGTGGCATCGAGGTAAGTATACTGCCCAGAACAGAGAAATCAATTACTCGTTAAAGAAAAATTGAAAAATAACAATAGAATTTGCATTTCTGCAGGTAAACTTTCCAAATACCAAATGATGTTAAAGCTTAAAATATTGCTCTGTCACACATGATGCATACAGCTTGTGTCCTGTTTAATGGCGATCGTGGCTCAAGAGTTGGCAGTTTGCCTTGTAATCGGAAGGTTGCCGGTTCGAGCCCCGGCTCCAACAGTCTCGGTCGTTGTGTCCTTGGGCAAGACAATTCACCTGTTGCCTATTTTTTTACTGCAAGTAGTTTTGTCAACAAACTCAAGTTGGTTTTATCACACCTTGTTTTGGTATGAGTTATTACAACAGAGTTTATAATAGCTATCTTTTTTGCATTTAAATAATTTAATTACAAAGCAGTGCAAATAAAGCTGGTTTCTACCTGCCTGGCTTTCACATGGTCTGCAGTTAAAAGTGATTAATTAAATGTTTATATATTTACTAACTGACTATTTATTTACCACCTGTTTGTAGGATGTGGCTGGTTTTCTGCAGGAATTTAAAGCTGCAGATATTCTTCTAGGAGTGATTTCCAAATCACGTTGTCCACGACTTACAGTGAGTGAAATCCTTTTTTTACGCATACTTTCTCTACCAGAATAAATCCTGTACAATTAATTTATTTTCTACCGGTAATACATTTCTGATACAGTGCTTTCTTTTTTTCCTCTAGGAAATTAGTGTGGGAATCCTTGGGAATATTTCGTGTTTTCCTGAAACTTGTATGACTTTGAGCCAAAATGAGGACTTGGGGTGGGTAAAAAAAAAAAAAAGTTCTTTGATAGATGTTGTGCATCAGGGGTGGGGAACTCCAGGCCTCAAGGGCCAGTGTCCTTCAAGTTTTAGGTGTGTCTTTTATCCAACACAGCAGATTCAAATGTTTAAATTATCTCCTCAACAAGTTCTCCAGATGTCTGGTAATGACCTAATGGTTTGTTGACCCAGGGTGATATCCAAAACCTGCAGGACACTGGCCCTTGAGGCCCAGAGCTCCCCACCCCTGTTGTACATAAATGGGTTTCAATCTACTCTTTGTGTCCACAGGTCTGTGGTGCTGCTGCTTCTGGGAGATACCGATCCTCCAACACTGCTGGAAACAAGCAGGTGCGATTTGCATTTTATGTAGACGTGTGAAATAGAGAAACGGAACGAGAAATATTCATATTTCCTCATGATGTTTGCAGATTGCTGCTGACCTGTCTTTCTCAGAAAGATGTCTGTTCACTGTGGCTTCAGCGAATACGACAGCACACATCTGTGCGCTCCAATCTCTGTTTCATCATGTGCAGCTCCACCAATAGTATTTATTTTTATTCTGTTTAATTCCAGTTTTAGTCCATTTCTCCAGTAATAACCTGGTTACTTGTATTGTTTGACACTGCAAGTCCCTGTGACGCTTATAATTATTGTTGACATGAGTGTGTTGTAAACTTACCATTATAAGTATATACTGAATGTGTTTACAGCGGATCTGCTTGAGAAGGTGGGAGAACTAGTTGACAAATTGTTTGACCTTGATGAAGAGTTAATGAAGAGTTGGATCACAGCTCAGCCTGATGAGGAGCAGGGGGATGATGGTGAAAGCCATCTGGAGATGACCTCATGTCTTCTTGAAGCAGCCAAGCAGCTCAGGTGGGAATCTGAATCTGTTTTATGAAGTATTTGTATTACTGTTTTTGATGACGCATATCATTTAACCAGGCTCTTACTGCAGAGTTAAACTAAATACAATGTACTTGTGAAATTAAAGGTGAGGTTGATTGTCAAGAATCCACAGTATTAAATTGTTTTCACAGATCAGAGAGTCCGAATGGCCTAGAGGTTTACCTTCATATCCTCCAGTTACTTACAACTATAGATGAGGGGATTCAGGTTTTTGGTGAGACATTTCAGTACTAAAAGGTCTTTATTGAAATCTTGTTCTTAAACCATTATCAGATAACAATAGAGAAGCGGTTGCCTTTTAAAATTAGACTTTGTGTATTTCTTCTAGCTGCTTCTGATGGACCGGGGAAATCTGTGTGGGAGTTTGTCTGTGACGTCGTGTGTGAGGACCTCTGCCAACCAAATGATCTTCCAGTTGTACTGCATGAACAGAAAAGCATTCTGGTCCAAGCACTTGCTGTGCTGCAGGCTCTTTATAAATGTCACGATGAGTGGTGCAGCAAAAGTGACAGAAGTAAGTTTTCATAAAGCTACACTGATGTTTAGCTGCACAGAGAATGTTGCCGATAATAATAAGTCCTCTTGATAGCCATACAGGAAGTGAAGAAAGCAGATTTTGTGGTCACCCCATTGTTTGAATAATTAGTTTAAATGAATGTTGCTGTATATCACGGTATGATTTTCAGTGCCATCCTAAAATTATACTTGTCTGTCTGTTAAGCTGTTGTCATATTGAAGCCTAAAACACCACCAGAGGTCACCAGTGTTCACAAACATTCAGCTGAGCTCATTAGGCTGTGAGCAGGGGTCCGTTCTTCGTACCTCGCTTAAAACATCCAAGATCAAATCATTGTGCCAACTTTGAGCTCGCTATTCCGGTTCTCCAAACACACCTGTTGTTGACGATTAGTATAGCTGGATGAAGTAATGTGAGATCACTGGGTGGCTTAACAGGGGCTACGCATCGATAGTAGAAACATTGATCGGCAACCCTTTGATTGGTCGGCGAAAATGTCGAAGGAGCGCGCTCAGTATTTTTCGGCAGCAGAGCAAGAACTCTTGAGTGAGGGATTTCAGGAGTTTCAGAGTTTAATTAAAATGCAAGGGAACACTGCAAAGGCTGCAAAAGCAAGGAGAGAGGGCTGGCAGAAAGTTGCTGACAAATTAAACTCGTAAGTAATTTAATAATAATACTAATGGAGTGGATTGATATAGCGCTTTTCAAGGCACCCAAAGCGCTTTACAATGCCACTATTCATTCACTCTCACATTCACACACTGGTGGAGGCAGCTACAGTTGTAGCCACAGCTGCCCTGGGGCAGACTGACAGAAGCCAGGCTGCCATATCGCGCCATCGGCCCCTCTGGCCAACACCAGCAGGCGGTAGGGTAAATTTATTATATTATATTACATTATATCCTCTTTCACATTAGAGCCACAACAGGACCCACTAGAACATGGGAACAAGTAAAAGTGAAATATAAGAATATTCTACAGAATTTGTAATAGTTATCACTTATATTGCTTTTAGTCTCTTGAAAAGAGACCCTGAAATAATCTGTTTGTTTGTTTATCACAGCAACCAAGAAAAGGGCAGAGCAAAAAAAGACAGGTGGTGGTCCTGCACCCCCTCGTCAACAAGTTGGTTAAGTAAATAATACCCTCACGGGAAAATCGATATCTCTCTATGAGCACACTGTCGCGCTGAGCTAAAGGATCCTGTCTGTCCCGCAATATACGCTGAATTCTGAGGACTCTCCTTATCAATCTTGCACCTTCCGCAATGGGTTGGTCGCGTATATGGACAGGACACGGCTGCGACAGACTTCCCAAATCCACCTTCGCTTTTATAGCCGTGGTCTCTCATCTTGATTACACGAAGTAATTTACTATTACTACTCTAGAATATGAATTACATCTGAAATAATCAAATACATGACATAGAATGATTAATAGTACATTTCCCTTTTTTTAGGAAATGACCTGTATGTATCTGTATGAAATCAATAAAAGAATCAAGTACTGCATTATCTTTAGTTACATTGATAATATTTATTTATGGTAAAACAGTGGTAAAATGTCACTGTTGCTTTCGTATAAATGAAGCGGACATACCTGAGTGGCTGCGATCTAATCCTGTTTACATAAAGTAAACCTGCTCCCGAGCAGGTTTACGCTTACGGATCTGTTGCTATGACAGCAAGTCCCGGATTAGCTTCAGAGAACCGAACGATCCAAGATCACACGAAATCGTCAACAATCAAATCCAGCTAACTTACTTAGCGAGGTATGAAGAACGGACCCCAGAACTGCAAACAGTAAACAAAGATTAAACTGTGTGGAAGTGTTTGGGTTTTAGTCTCTTTGAAAAGGATGACCCATCTGTGCAGTTTCAGTTTTTTGGGTGATGAATGAATATACGGTAAACATTATTTTGTTTTTTTTAATTTGCTGCGTTTTTGGTTGAATACCTCTAGGTTTGCCTCTCATTGGGAGCATCTTGCGGGTATGCCAGTACCAAAATGAGTGCAAAGACGGCAGTGCAAACAAAGAAGATGAAAAAGATGAGCACCTCGAGACTGTTGCAGAGATCACAGCAGAGTTTTTGGCTGACCTCTTCATTCACATTCAAAAGGTAATATTTAGGGATTTATTTTGCTCACTTTTGTGGGCCAGATCATTTTAATCAGCAGCCAGTAAAAACCAAGGTTTAAATATGGATTTTTTTTACCCCCCATTTTAGGACACAGTTGCAGATTTGGTGAAGAAAGTTTACCTCACAGAGAAAACCTGCCTCGCAGCTGCTGCCACTTTACTTCCCAAGTTTAAGAATTCAGTAAGTGCTCCTTCTAAATGGTTAATTTACAATGAGACACGTACATGTGAATAGATACCGTTCAAAGGGGTTTAGGCCGTTTTAAGTTAACTGAGGTTTCATTTGCACAAACACAACAAACTGTTGTTTTGTCAGAAATAACGGGACAACTTGTCAAATATTTTAACACAGACTTATTGCTTTTACTTGAGAAGGATGAACTCATGTTACAGAGTTACAGTCAGATTTTTAAGACCTGGAGTCCTTGTAGGTATGTTACAGTGAGTCACAGTTCATCATGAAATCCTAAAACCTTCTGATTAAAATTCAAATTTATATTATTTTGAAAAGATTTATTGAGAAAAAAGATTTATTCATAGCAAAATGAACAATGACATTCTTCACTGGGTATAAAAAGCAAATGCTCAGAATTTCTAATACTTTAATACCTTTGGTGGGTTTTCAAGATACAATACTACTATACTATTTAAAAAACATCACATAATACTTGTCCAGATGTAAACTGTAGGCAGAAATTGTTGACCTGTAATGCTATTAATACAGCAAAAGACTTATTTTAGAGCTCGTGTCAGATCAGGATGTGTGATGGACTGCTGCCATACTCCCACAGCTCCTGTGGAAAATAAACATTATGTTTCCACCCTGCCCTTCCTCCTCTTGTGCAGTTTCAGCACCTGCAGACCATGTTGTCAGAGGCTGATCTCCAGTTGGCAGATGTGATAAGGACACAGTGTCCCGTCTGAAGCACCCTGCAGATCAGTGTTCAGCACTCATTCAGACTCTCACCTCTGCTTTTTATAGCAGCCAGTATTTCCTCTCCAAAGATCCTGCTTCAAAACGAGCTATTTGCATTTCCACTGGAAGGACAACATCACGAATGGCAAACTGTCATGTATTTGAATATTGTAAGCTACTTTTAAGTTAAGTCTGGAAAATTAAAGTTTGGGGTTGTTGTTTTTTTTAAGCCTTTTTTAAGAATACTATTTTTGTATTTAATTACAGACAGTGTTTAATTAAAAGTAATTTGTCTTTAAGCCTTTTTTAGTGTTTTTTCATGTAGAAATTGCAAAAAAAGAGCTGAATAATCTGCAATGAGGAATTCAAGTCATTATTAATACTACGTTCTGATTCCAGACTCTTTAGGAATAAAGTATTTTTCTTAACATTCAGCTTCAGTCAACACAATTTAGAGCTTTTAAGACAGCCAACTGGCACTAAAATTTAATAATGTCAAACCACAATTTTAAGTGTTTTTTTTATATAAGGTAGTAGTTATATATTTGGTTATAAGTAAATGAACTCACTTTGGTTATTTAAATGCTTCTGACTGGAGAAAATATCTTCTCACAGGCTGAGAAAAGAAATTTCTAACCAAACATTAACAAACCTGTATGCTTACTTCTAAAATACTTCGAAATGCACTGTTAAATATTCTAAATGTATGTATATTTGATTAATTCTAGATTTTTATCTAATTAAATTTAAAAAATATAAATATTTATTTAAGATAAAACTGAGATAAGTGTATGGGCTCACCTTTTTAAGCATATGAGTAATGATGCTAATGCTGATGACAACATCAAGTGTTTACCAGAGGGTGACAGTCACTCTTGTAAGGACAAAAAAATTAGATGAAAGGCTTGAGCCTGGCAACAATGAACTCATTTGGTTTCCAAATACCCCATTTCGCCCACTCATGGAGAAGAGCAAGAGAACCTGCGCATTTCCAGCAAAGCTCAGGAAGGCTCTGTGAATATAGCAGCTTTTTAATTAAAGCTTGGATTGATGTGAACGCTCTTTCTAATGGAAATCCCGAGTGTACGTGAGACAGATCGCCCTATGTGGGGGGAGAAAACACAGAACAAAACACGTGTTTGAGCGTCAGCTACACCCATGATCCACGTAGGTTGAGGTAACCAGTGTCTTGATCTAGACGTCATGACCTGTTTGTGCTGTAAATGGCTAGAGTGTAATCACGCTTGGCCTGTCAAGCTTGCTTGTAGCCAGTGACTTGCACTGTGCTCGCTACTCTGTCTCGGAGCCTCGCTTCCAGGCGTGTCATGTCACTGAGATCAGGGTGAAGCCCAGATGTTTCCTGCTGCCCTGCCAAACCTTATTGTCGGTCTGCCATTCTTCATGTAGAGTTGATATGATCCGACTCTGTGAACACAACACAGCAGGCTGTTCGCTGCGTGGATGGCGTATTATACACATCACTGGCACTGAGGCATGTCAGATCTGTCTGAGCCTGATGTTGGATGTCAGTGATTTCTTTGTTTTTTGCCCACAAATGTGTTGGTCTTTTAAATGACATAACATTTTCCCTCACACTGAATTTTGGATTAACCTTAAGGTCACGTCCTGTGAAAGGGCTTTTATAAAGCACTGACATAAAACACTGACATGGAAATGTTCTCTTTGAGAGACTGAGGAGTTAATAAAAGTCTCTTCTACACCAAGAAACAGTCATTAAACATTAAATTGAGGGACCGCATCAATGAAATTAGAAGACTATTTAAGATTAAAAGGAATTTGTCAAAATCAGCAGACGTTTAATTTTTATGATTTTGTGACTTGATCTTTCAATGTGCTTTAAGTGCATTTTCTAAAGCCAGGGTTATCATAATTGAGCTGTCACAAGTGTGCAGAATGGCCCCAACACTGTTCTAGCGGTTGTTGCTGGGGGTGGATGAGCGATAATGAAGGGATGAAGAATGCGTGTGCAGCGTCACGTCCCCATCCTTTGATTCCAAGGCCCGTCCTATTCAGATCCGCCTGGTTAAGGCGTGTTAATAAAGACGCGTGATGCAGTGGGTGCAATCAAAGCCCCCTTCAGTTCATTTCCTGAGTTCCCTGGCTTTCTATCTCTTGTCAACAGATTGACAATGAAAATGTTCCCCTCACGTTATCCCTGGATATCAAAGCCTCTGACCTTTGCTGCTCGCAAAAAAGTGATGTGGCTACGACGATATTTGCGTTTGCCTTAACCGCCTTTTGTGCTTCTTTAATAAAGTTATCAAGGAAGGATATTGTAATGATAAAATACACAGCGTGGGCGCTACTTAGCAGCTCAATCTCTTTTATAGAGAGGTGGAAAGGTTTTGAATCACCAAATAAATGAATTCAAATATAATGATATAATAATTATAAATTAAGAATGAATTAATCTGTGTTTCATATTTGTTAGACATCAGCCTATGAGAGTTATATTTGCTTGCCTTGATCTGGACGTCATCATTAGAGTGTAAAAGGCTTATATGAAGGCAAATGATTTCATAAAATAAATTAGTATCACATAAGTAAATTAATTAATATATTTTTGTTTTTTCAAGAAGTGCTGTGTTAAAAAACATCCTTTATATTTTTCCTTGAATTATGTTTTAAGCTGCTTGTATTGGTGAATCTGTTACATTTAGGGATGCAATACTGCCATTGCCATCACTTTAACTAATTGTGTTTTTTACATGATCTGATATGACACCAGAATAAACAGAACATGCGGAACATGTTCAGTGATGCTCTATCATTTTTTTGCATCACGTCCAACGCGTCTGTTTTGAATGCAGCAGGTGTTTATGGGTGCAGCTCTAGCCGGTTCTTGTGTACACTGACGCCTGTCACCAAGTGGCATATGTTGCTGTTTGTTCTGCATTGAAAGAAATGGAGCTAATTAAAGAGAAGCAGCCCTGTCACAGGAAGTGTACGCAAGCTGACCATTCATTGCTCTGATTAGTTAGTTGTTGAAACAGAGCTCAGGATTAGGTGAAAGACTGGAATTCTATTGATGAAGTGCTATTAGAAGACCTTGGATATTTGGAAATTCAAACACTGGTCTTATAATCAGCTGCTGGGAAGGGAGCACAGATATCCCATCCCACTGGTAACGTTCATCTTCCTACAATATGAAAAGAAACATTCGCTCAAATTATTTAATTTATACCCACTCGTGTATCTGAGCTTTCCTATGAAATGCAAGTCCTCACTATTGATATACCATTAAAAGAAATTTGGTGTGGCTGAGTTTGTTCAATAAAACACATTAAACGAATTCCAATAATGTCTTTATTAATAACTTTTATTATTTAGGAAGAATAATCAGTACTTTACTTGAACTGAAGCCTGTCAAATTACAAAATTGTATATCAAATAAAATACAAATTACTCGATTCATTAATAAATAAAGTTACTATAAAATCACACAATTAACTAATCAAATTACTGTGATATTAAATAAAGCCTTAATTGTAAGGGTAAATTGCCTTTCTTTTTTTCTAACTCTACAAAATCTGTACGTGTCCAGTGTGAATGGTTACATATGTATTTATAATTACATCGTATATAACAGCGGTCCCTAACCCCCGGGCCTCGGACCGGTACCGGTCCGTGAGTCGTTTGGTACCGGGCCGCGAGAGTTGAGGCTCATGTGTGAAATGTATGATTTTCAGGGTTTTTATCGGTTTTCGGTGTTATTTTGTTATCGTTTTGATCGTTAACTCGGTTTTCCTGGGTCTTTTCACGTGTGTTATGAATAAATCTTCTTTTTTCCAGTACCGGTACTAGTTTTTGTTGTATTTATCCACGACACATTAAAGGCCGGTCCGTGAAAATATTGTCGGGCATAAACCAGTCCGTGGCGCAAAAAAGGTTGGAGACCGCTGGTATATAACACAGCACAGCATAGCAGGCAGTTGTAGTTAATCTTTATATCAGCATATAAATGCTAGCACATAATAGCACACCAAAATAGTTACATTCAGTCTGTATTTAAGCTCCTCGTTAGATCTTGATTAATCATGATCTTTTATGATAAATAAGTGTTTCTTATCTCCAAAAGTTGATTCTGTTCATCTGGACGTAGCGTTATGAGTGACAAAACGTTTCTCCCACAAAACGCTACGTCCAGATGAACAGAATCAACTTTTGGAGATTTACTTTCCTGGATGATTGAGAATGCATCAAGAAGTGTTTCTTATCTTTCTTATTGCATCCCAAACAAACAGGCATGTTTGATCATGTTTTTTTCCAGCATTTACTTCTTTATTGTGTAGTTTTTGCTGTGCTGCGTATGTGTAGCTGTTGTTGGTGTATACTGATCATGTGAGTGCAAATGTAAACCTTGTATTTCTAAACTAGGGAAGGACTCAGTGCATCAAAAGGTGGCATCTGCCCTGCTGAAGTATCATTAAGCAAAACCTCCTGCACTGTGACCCCTGACCTCTCCTTGGAGAGTGCACCATGAATGCTCATTGTTATTGTAGTGAGTTAGTGTTGTTCTTTTTCCAAACACTCTGTGAGATATAGTAAGTTCTAATACACATAATGCGCGTGTTAGCCATAGCCATGGGTGAGATTAGCCAGAGAGATCTCTTGCAGCTTGATGCTCAGACACTGTGAATAAATCCCTCTGATTAAAGGGAACAGAACTGGGACAGACTGGCTACCATGCAGCTTTAACGCGCTCAGTCACGTCTGTCACAAACCACAGGAATAAGAGTGTGTACAGTGACTTATGTGCTGCGTTTTCCTTTGAAACTTAAAAAACAACTGTGCTTGCACAATGAGCCTAGCAGGCCTATTAGAGAATCCCATGGCTGGTTTCTTCTAAAGTAGGTTATGTTTCTGTAATCGGATGTGTTAATGTGTTGAGTAGTCTCATTATCTTACTCTAGAAGAGCATGAAAAGCCTCATCAAAAGCTGGAAGAAATCTGTTTTGAGTCTAAGAGTATTTGAGTTCAAGAAAAAAAAGAGTATAAGTAGATGTATTTCTGTAACTATACCAAAAATTGCACATTTAACTTGAAACTTTAGAAGGTTTGTGTGATGAGTGTGTTCACAAAAGAGGTTTTGCATAATTTTCATGATATAATTTCCAATAATATAATTATTATACTTCAGCTGGACAACAGGGTTTCAGATTGATGTTTATTATTAGCTATATTGTTGCACTGTAGCATTTCATCTTAATTATCAAGAGACTACTGTTCACATAAGAGAGGTGAGTCATCAGGAGAACGAACTAGAATGAGCCATCTTATTCATGCTGCACTCTCTGACCCTTGTTGGCTTAAAGCATCTCAGTGCATCTTGAGTCAATTCCCCTCTGAGTGGTGAAGCAGAAACGGCACGAGCCACTAGTCATTGTTAATAAGAGTTTAGATTTTTGTTTAAACGTGATTTAAAAGAAAATTATATTCCCAACATAAGACAGGAGGGGACAGATAAACCGATGCTTTTTAAACTGGATCCAACATGAACTCTAATAGCCTCTGACACTCATTAAACAAAGGGGAGCTGGTCCTGGAGCTGTCAAGATGCAAGGACATCAAAGACATAGACAGGGCCTGTGCAGCATAAAAGTCAGATCTGTGGAAATTATATTATGAGGGAATTTGGATGTGCTCGGTGCTCTGTGTGCAACACCGTCTTACTTGATTCTTGAAAGGTACCGTTCGTTAGAGAGCCCTGAACGATACTGACACACTGTTCATTAGGCTGCTTTCCTCTCCTCGTGCTCAAGAGGCAAGACACAATACTTTGCAGAGGAAAAAAATGTTCCATCTATTAACATTTCTCTAGTGGCCACAATACCTGCCAGAGCACTCTTTATTGCTTTACACAGCAGCAGTCTTCTTAATAACCTTCAACATATTGTGGTGTAAATAAAGAGCCTCTGGATTACAAAGACTTTTATCAGAGGTCTAAATTGCATCATATGGAGATTGATTTATTCTTAAAAAATGATCTGCGCTGATTCCTTCATATTTTATGACATGTTGAATCAGTTTAGTTTTTTTCTAGCAGTGCACCAAAATGACAAACACAGACATATACAAATATATATATAGTGTATTTTTTTAGGTTTTGTTTTTTCTTCCTATTGCTAATAAATACTATTATTATGTTCTTAAAATTAGGATTGAGGAAATTGGGAAATTTAACTTCTAACTTATTACAAATCCTTAGGTTTAAAAAGCTGGGTATCTGAACTTAAACGGTTAACTGACATTTTTATGTCATCTCCCTAAATAAACAACAGAGTTCCTGTTTCAGTGCTTCTTACCATAATGTAACTTAATAAAATTCTGATTTGTTTATGTTCAGCCTGTGTTTTGTTACCCAGGGTGTGCATATTGTGTTTGCACAGTGAAGCAGAAATGTTCACCTTCTACATGGAAGCAATAAGGAGCTTAAGCTAACAGTAAGGTAAACATGTTTACGCGTTCTTTGCTACAAACTTTATGGCCACATCACATCAGTGCGAGTCTTAAGAGGCTGTCAGGTGAACACTTCTAGCTCTATCTTACACAACATCTGAGGAGGAAGTTCCCTTCATTGCCCGCTTGGGTTGTGTAAAGCATCTGTCCGTGTCACGAGCAGTGTTGGTCAAGTTACTTGAAAAAAGTAATCAGTAACTAATTACTGATTACTCCCCCCAAAAAGTAATCCCGTTACTTTACTGATTACTTATTTTCAAAAGTAATTAATTACTTAGTTACTTAGTTACTTAGTTACTTTTTAAAAACACGATTTACAACCTGAAGAGGTGATAAAGTGATAGATCTTTCAGCCCAATTCTACTTTTTCTACATAATCCATCATACAAAATGTAATCAAATGGAAAAGTCTCTTTTTTTAACTTGTTTTATCAGTTTTAATCTTTTAACTTTATGCATCAAGCAAAACATTTAATTATATGCAACATTCTCTGACTTGAATAAATTAGTTTAACATTTAAACCTATTTTCTACACATTCCAGCACATAAAATAAAATATTTTTTGTGTTTTCACTCACTCTTTCAAACAGATGCAAGTAAAACACAGCAGAAAATAAATAAAGTCAAAGACTCAGCGGTCCTTTTGCTCTATTTTCACCTGTAAAGCAGGAGCAGGGTAGGCGGAGGGTTACCCTGGTGTAGGTGTGCTGCGGTCAGTTGAAGAATCCGCGCGAGTGTCTCTGTGAGTTTCCCATTACGTCGTAGCTACTCAGTGCTTACTTGGAAGTTTAGGGTTTTTTTCGCTGTAAAAAGAAGTTTTCTTCCCACGCACGATGGACGCTAATGTTTTTGTCACTTTTTATGGAATCAAACTCAAAGTAAGGTCAGTACTTCCACGCTTTAAACGCTGCACGCTCATACTCTCTCCCGCACTCGATATATTATCCATTGTTGATCTGCACACAGCTGCTGTCACCAACGTCGCACTTGCTTACGTCACTGTCATGAGACATTCTCGCAAAAAAAATCACGGTTTTAGTAACGCAGTAACGCAGCGTTCCTACGGGAAAGTAACGGTAATCTAATTACCGATTTTGCAATAGTAATCCCTTACTTTACTCGTTACTTGAAAAAGTAATCAGATTACAGTAACGCGTTACAAGTAACGCGTTACTGCCCATCTCTGGTCACGAGTGACACAGCCCAGGACCACCTGAGACAAACAGCATGTGCATTAGCCACATGTATCATCACATTAGATCAGCGAGCAGCTAAAAGAGCTTGCTAAGAGCCAGAGACATGTCA